GTTGAAGTGCAGAAGGTGAAAGAAGTGTTTCAGGAGATAATATCATGTGTATTTATACTACGAGGTAATTTTTTCATATTTACTAAGTAGAATATAATTTCACTTTCAGTTAACGCCGGCGGAGTGTCTCCAATTGGCGCCAGGCGCGACAGTGCCCGGAGCGACCACGCCGACAGGGGAACCCCGCATAGAAGCCTTCCTTCCACGAATGGAACTAGAGAAACGTGTACCTGTTCCTGCACCACCGCAAGCTGAATGCAGTCCGTTCGTCGAAGTCTTCATGGTTTGATGATCACAGCCTCGAGCGAGCACCTGTGTCCTGATCGTTAAACCGAGTCGAGTCGAACGACGACACGTGAAACCTTAGCCTCGCACAAACAGAAGCCTCAAGTTGCGTATCCAACCGGTCAAGTGTTTTGCTCTTTGCTTTTTTCCGGTGGATACACGGCTGTGTATGGACGTCACTATGTCTTTCCTGCTCCTTGGATAAGAACGTTCTCCATTCGACCGATGGGTGGTACGAACTTGTACCGGTGGAGTCCTCGTCAGCTTTTTTTATTTCTACTCTGGAAACTGAGAATACCCTAGAATCGTGAACACACACGAGGTCTTGGAAAGCTTATCCAGCGCGACACACGATTTTACTTTTCTCATCTTCAAAGAACGCTCCCCCACTCCCCCCTCCCCTGTAAATCTAACGTGTCACCAGGTGACACGGTTTCTTTCTAGTCTAGAGACAGATGCAAGTCGTCGCAGCATGTGACGTCGTTTCTTTCTCGTCGTTTGTTTCAGTTGCTCTGAAGCAGAACGCGCAAGGCACGTTCTTTCTTCTACCTTTTGTTGTTCTTTCTCTATTTTCCCGATCCTCGTTGTTTCCTGACGTTTATCGTATACGCCCACGCCTTCTGTATCTGCATTCCTCGATTCCATTTGTTGCTCCGCGCTCGCGAGCATCGTCCTGGGAGTAAAAGGGCAACCGACGAAATCGTTCGGTTCCCTTGATATACAACAGTAATATGTACGCTTGGCTCATTTGATACGTTCCCATGTTCATTCGAATACAGAAAGGGTAAATCCGAACCTATTGGAATTACCGTGGGCGGAATGGTTTTTCGAAACCGATTCAATTAGTTCGTTACCTTTCTGTGATTACAGAGCGTATCACGTGAGCTCGGTATAAATGCTAAATGTAATCGGCTTCGATCGTTTCAAGTAGGTCCGCTATAATGGAACGATCGTGATAGACGGTTCGTGCTTGGAATTTTGATTAGTTAATCTGGCACGCGACGATTAGTTTTTACTTTGTACAAAGTTACATTTTGCAACGTTCCAAGTATTGAGCCCTGCGCGTCGCTTTTTGTTCGACCGCCTCGGTACCACGTTGATTCTTAAATACCGACGTGGCCGACGCGCGAGCAGCCGTCGTTGTTGATACGAATTAACGCGCGATTCGCGCTTTTATTTTATCGTAAGAGTTTTACTTAATTTAATATGAAAGTTTTAATATGGAAATTTAATATATACCCTATCGCCCATCGTTAATACAAACGATATACGTTTATTATCGTTGATTCGCTCTACGTATCATTTTTATTGTAAATGTAAGGCTATTAGTTCGACTGTAAAATGTCGTGTCCGTTCGTCTGCCCCCCCAGGTTCATCGATTGTCCCGGAATCGCTGGTGTGTGGGAGACCACCGGATCGTGTAACAGCAAACATTACGAACGTCTTCCGTTTAGCGTGTTATTTCATCGAGCAAATCTTATTTAACGTCGCGATTCGTACTTTATGATCGGTTTCGTTTATGTATCTCCTCGGGATACATATTTGAAATAAGGTTCTCGCATTGTTGCCACTGCACGTTACGGGACTGTTCAAATAATTCACGATATATTGGCGCCAAGAATTAGTTTAATTGTTTACAGTTGGTCAACTGCCAGGTCAAGAGTGTGAACGGCGGCAGAGATTAACTGATCGCTCAATCACTACGTAATTAATTCGTAGGTAATTATGAAAACTATTCTTTTCTCGAGAGTTTTTCATCGTGGTTTTCTTCAGTCAGTTATTCGCTCTATCTTCCTCCCCTCTTCTCTCGTGCCTATATCCACGTTAGATTTGTCCGTAGCTAATTGCGCATTCTTGAAATTCCATTCATAGAATGGTCAACGAAAGGAAACTATAGTTAATTGATGCTATTGCTTTTAAAAATAAACGAGGCTATTCTTGTAACTGACGAAAAAAAAAGTTTACAAATTAGATTCGAGTTTGAGGGTGGAGTCGGAGACAAGTTCCATTATCGTGTGCGTTTAGTTACGGACAAAATATTGTGTTAAGTCCATTGTGCTTCAGATACAAAATCTGTTTCTGTTCCTGTTCCTGCAAACGGCGCTCATGTACAAAGGTGCAATCTTAGCTGTAATGCGTGGCATCTGAAAAGCCCCAGGGTCGTTCTATCGATAGAAAGTAAGAATTACTTCCGGTAAAATACTTTATAATTCTCGCGACGCGAACATATTATTGCATATATACAAATTATATAGGTATACATAGGACATATGTATGTTTCTTTACGAATGATTATTACATCTTCACTCGAGGTCACGTGCTTTGGCTGTATTTAGTACAAAACCCGTAAGCTCGAGTCTAGTTTTGTCTAGTTTTTCCGAAGTGAACTTCGAATAATCTATAATCGACGTGTAATTTTGTATAATTGCCAAAAAGTTCAGCGTACGATCCCGATTTGAAGGCATCGAGTAATATCGCGTGTGTTTTCAATTTCAATGCTACCAACATAAGTTACGTGCCCCGTGACAAGACGCAACGTTCAGTATGTCGCGACCATCGATCGAGCTCTCGATTTAAACGTACCTGAAATTGTTTCGTCGAACGTACGCGCCAAAAACCGTTACTGACACGCGCGATTTGTTATGTTGTATTTTTTTTCTTTCTTGTGTCCAGCGATTCGTGTCGAGAAAGTGCAATGAAGTGTGACGAGATTGACGTCGCTCGTAAGTAAACGAGTTCGTTTATGTTTTAAGTTTACTTTTTTTTTCTACGATAAGTACGTCGAAGTTTAAGCGGTGACAATGCTGCGAGTCAAAGAACAACGCGAACGAATTTGTAGTCCGTTGTTTCTCGTTATTGTGTGCACTGTGTCCGCTCGATTGGTGCAATAATTCCCTTGATCTTTTGTTTTTGTTGTCACGCGTCCATTCGAGATCACAGCGATACGATCCCCTGCACTGTGGGACGTCAAAGAATACGGTAACTTTGTTACTCGTATCAGGTTAACACTCTGGCTGTGTGCAAAAAAAAAGGAATTGTAATACGTTGACTGCCTTTGAATGTTAAGAGTACAAAATCATTAATTGGTCTCTTGCAAATCAAATGAAACAATTCCGTATCCGACGAAAGTCTCTAACAATGCGATCTCAGCGTGACTCTCCTATCGTAGTTTAACAGAAAAATCTAAAAAAGAAAAGAAATAAAAAAACAAACTTTCGTCTACGTGACCATAGACGAAATTTCGTTATCGATGGATCGTATCCGCGATCCAAAAGAACGACTACGACGAATAGTAATCTGATCCCGATATTTAACAATGTTATTAACGATATTAATATTAATATATTCGATATTGTTTTAAAACAGTCTTCCGTAATTTATTCGTGAACCTCTTTCATTATATCGTGTATTATATTGTATACACACTACGAAATGTCTATTTAATTATACCATGTAAAGATAGGTAAAATTTTGATTCTACCATTTGATTTGTCCCTATCGAGTGCATAGAACAATGAGAAAGAAACCATTTTTTAATTCAAAATTGATACGATTCGTTTATTAGCTCTGCCGTGAACAACATATAATTTAAAGTACGGATATTGTAAAAACGAATATTCCGACATACATTATTCAACTTATTAAAAAAAACGTATAAATATATAAAGATATTTGCACTCGCGTTTTATAGTAGAAATAATGTCGTCGGAGGCCGAACAGTCCTTCTTTGGAAGAATAAATTCGCAGTAGAACACACGTGTTTTCGTTGAGCTATCGTTCCGTGATAAATCATACGAAAGTTTTCATAATACTTCTTTAATAACGATATAAAAAATATGAACGAAATTCCGCTGGGTACCATTAAAAGACATCCAACCGGTGTTTGTGTATATCTATACATACATAAATACACAAATATCGTGCGCCTTGTAAAAGGCACTGGTCGCTTTTATAATGAACTTACACATACGGACGGATAATCTGTTACAATATATGTATAATACATATATAAAGTTATTATCAAGGCGCTTGGTGAGATCACCTACTTTAAGGAAAACTATATCCAATAAATGATTCTTGTACGATATTATATAGTCTTAAACGACAGATACAGTATTCCTTAATGAACAGCTCGTTGGAATCATTAGTACAATAATGATACGGGAACGTAAGTTATACTCGAATGAGTTATCTATCACAACATGAGTACACCTCACTCTGCGAGTACCTAAATGCGTATTCTGCGCTAGTTTGGCAGTGTAATACAATATATTTGTGACGTCTTCTTAAATTTTACGATCTCCATCAGAGACAAGAATATTTTCTTACTGTTACATAAACAATTCTTCAAAGTATTACGCGAATTGTTTAAAAATTCTTAAATTTTACGATCTCCATCAGACAAGAATATTTTCTTACTGTTACATAAACAATTCTTCAAAGTATTACGCGAATTGTTTAAATGCTCGTTCATGATCATGCAAGCGACTGATGATTTTACCCTAGTTCGCGAACCATCGTTCCCATCGTTGTATGATACGTTTCTCTGTACACACGTCAGTAGAATTAAGTTTCCCTAGTCTACATGATATATTAGCGTATATACTATACTACATAATTAGGTACAACTTGCAATCCATGTTCGATTCTGCTTCACTCGACTCACGAGTTGCGTGTAAAAAAAAAAAACCAAGGTTAGAATTACGCGCTCCGGCTGAAGTGAGTGTTGAGATCTAGTCTTCAAGAACAATACTAATTGTAAGTCGGGTAAGGAAGAAGCCTTAATGAACATCAAAAGACCCAGCGATGTACCGTCGTATCAATTGTATTTGTTATGATCCACTGTCTTAAATGTAAAACTCGGTGGGTTTACTTAATCTCACTTAAGTCTTCTTCCTATGTGATCGGAGTTGAATCTAAGTGTCGTTGCACACTGCAGTCCAAAATCTTCATACAACTAGCCTATTGAAGGCAGTTTACATTGCTGTCTCGAGAGGTTGGCTCTTACTTCTCGCTCCAGCAGACAGCTGAGTCAGTTCTGTGGGTTCGTTGGCGAGGAATACATCTAAATTGGTCTCCAACAGAGCTTCGCTCTTCGATCTCAATGGTTTCTCCTCTCCATTGTCCAAATTAGTTTCTAAAAGCGCCTCGCTTCTTGGTCTACTGTCGTCGTACTGATGATAGGGATGAGGTGGTATAGGAGGATTGAAGTCTGGGGCGTATTCAGGCACAGGTTCGGATGCCTGGCTTGGCGTTAATGTTGCATTATCGTAGCTACGTCTAACATCATAGTCCACGGGACTGTAAGCTGTTGCCTCAATGTCGCGTTTCAGTTCGCTGATGGAATCATTTAAAACGAGGCTCGAGTGCAGTGGAAGTGTGGACGTATTATGCAGGTATGAACTCTCCTGTGTAGCATCCACAACTGGGGTTTCATCCGTGGTTGTCTCAGTGTGAGATTCTATAGGCCAGTCAGTAGTACTTCTTGAAGTGAACGTAGAATGGTTACGGAAACCTTCATTGCGGTAGGTTAGGTCGAACACTGGATTTTCTCCGCTTTGAGCGGCTCCGAACTTCTGTGCTGTACTCTTGAAGTCACTGGTGCTGGGCGAGTACCGTGGATTGTGAGCTTCGTACACGTCGTAGCTTTGATTGTCCTCCATAGAGGAGTTCAATTGAGACTTGTCCATGGAGTCTATGCTTCCTCCATTGAGCATTCTTTTGTAATCCAGGGACTTTGAGTTCAGTGTGTCCGTAGAATGTTTTGTCTGAAATGAACATTGTTAAATACACTAAGTGCAGTACTAATAAAGGCACAACTAATTTTAATGTTTAAGGTAGTATATGTACCGTAATAGGTTTACGACGATAAGCAAGTTCAGTGAATCCAGACGTAGAACCGACGGATCTTAAAGAATGCAGGGACTGTCTGATAGAATTTCGTCTTTCCAGTCTTTCGATGTTTCTTCTTTTCGATTTAGACACCCAAAGTGCAATGGCAGCTGTTAATAATGCAAGCGCCACGCCTGCTGCCCCTAATACAGCTACAGCTACAATGTCTTTCCTCCATGATAACGGATCAATGTCCACTCTGGGATCTATAACAATATATGGTGTTGTTATAATTTTCTATGATAATCAGAAACATTAAATTACGTACCAATTTCGCAAATGAAAGGACTTGGCTGAGCACAGTGATCTATTTCAATAGTTTGGTACGTGAACGTCGTGCACTGATCTACTCTGTCTAACTGTTGTATCCAAGCACGGTCCGAAAAATCATAACGTTCCTGTTGTTTCCGCAGAAACTGCCAAAGCTCCAAATAATCACCCATGATAAATGGCATTGATGCGTTCACCGACTGAGAAACATAATTGCTTGGATAACATGTACGTAACTAACATATACCGATAATGTGTCAATGATCAACTCACCCTACAGAAATCTCTAGCGCTATAAAAGTCCATAGGAGCACCAATGTATATGTAGCATGTGTCACCCACAAGATCCCACGCGGGTGGACATTTTCCATTCAGAACGGATTTATTGCTCATGTGGAAAGGTTGGTAATCAACTTGGAGTAGTTCAGGAGAATCCCCTCTGTCTCTGATTCTACCAGCTACCGCCAGAGTTTCGTTGTATCCCCACCAATTATGCCTTGCATCTATATGGGACCTCCACATTTCTAGTTGTCTGTATAATTAAAAATACGTTTATTTAGTGTCATGTCACGTATTGCAATGTCGCGGAAAATATATAGAATGGTACAGACTGTGATCGATTTACGGTGAGCATTTCATAATCATTGTCTGGATTGAAGAAGACATTGTCGACGTACTGTTGACCAGGAGTACCAGCCACTATTGTACTGCGGCCATTACGGTCCACTGCATAATTTCTGAAACGTTATTTCACTATTTAGTAAAAACGAAGCCTGATAACTAATATTAATTATTCATCGAGAATAAGAAAAATTACTTATAAAATCCATTATGAGATGTACTTTGATAAATGGGCAATCGAACTCTTTCGAATCCTGAAATTTCTAGAAGATGCGCACCAAGATTGCCGTGTAAATAATTAAGGGTCATGTTACTGACTACTTGTTTCAAGACGACGTTATTATCGTACGGAGCGTTGTTCTTCGTAAAGTAATTCCTGAATATCGTCACTTCTTGATACGGACTGCTTTGACGACCTTCTACATATCTGAAAAGAAGGATAAGTAGTTACATAATCTCCAAATAGAACATTCAACGCTATATATATATTGTACATACAGTGCAGGTTTGTTGAAGTTTTCAGCGAACATATTATTGTGAATCCATCCTTTCAAAGAAGTCGCTGAACCCCTGGAGTCAGCGCGAATGGAGAGTCCACCTTGATTCTTACGGACCAAATTGTTCTAAAATAACCACCGACGTAATTAAAAAGATATGTCATCAAAAATCATTTGCTGTTTTTAGTAATAAAATCACTCACTCTAAAGAATAAGGACTGGGTGTTCTGAACATCCAACCAGATGGCAGATTTGCACGTCGAGAAGTTACCATATAATTTCTCACAATTGTTTGTGAATTGATTACGCTCTAGAGTCATTATAGCGTTTACTTCGCCAGCGCTAGCATACTTGATCGCTCCCTCCCGGCAGTTCGATATCACAGAATAAGAAATGTTGTGTTGCACATCACGATCTGAGGAAAAAAAGATCGGTATCAATCGCAAGATCATAAATTAATCAATAATTATCAATCGTTCATATAACTCACTAAATCCAATGGCAGAGATTGGTAGAGTGACTACTTCTGCGATGAAACCGTGCACACTACTTGCACCATTAGCGAACAGACTCACACTGAGACTGGGCTCCTGAGTCTTGAATAGCTTCTTCTCGTCAGGACTGTTAGCTTCCAAACGACCTATACTCTTGGCAGTGACGTTATAAATATCTCCATCGTACAAAGTTATACTATCTACGCGACCTGGCTTTCCAGTAGAGTTAAAAAGATTGAACTGCAGAAGCCTGTGAAATATACAAGAGCACAAATCTTGAATCATTTTCTCACAGGCGATAAAAGATCTTCTCGTTAATGGAAACAAACCTAAATCCAAACGGCTTCGCCTTGTAAGCACTGCGGAAGATTTTCACGCAATTCACTGGATGATTGTCGTATTTGTAATACACAATCACTCGTTCCTCCAACGTGATCTCCTTGGTTGTGTCGCATATATCGATCATGCTGAATAGATGATAAGGGATATTCAGATCCTTAATAGGAGTGAATGAACTTTCGTCAGCTTCACGACCCTCCCCCGTTATCGAGAGCACGTTCACGCCATTTCCAAGAACATTGTCCACAGTATTGAATAACAATTCAACCTAAAAGAATAAATAAAAAATTGAACCAACAGTTGTAACCTATATTCATCAGAAAGCGTGGTAATTCGATACAAACAGTGTGAGTTGGGGATATCACGTTGATCCCATGGTAAGCGCTACGTGTCACGTTAACGTGCATTATGGCTGGGGACTTCATGATAGTCTGCAAGGCAGCTGACTTTTCGAAATGGAGAATTCCAGCGCCAGTGATGTTGATGTATTTCAATACAGACTCAATGCGTCTGACTGTTTCATGGGTGACCACGTCGTGAATACGATGCTCGTACAAATGATGCTCAAACTCGCTGTTCGCGACACGTATCCCGCCCCAGTAATCATGTGCGTCGTCCAGATTCCGTTTTCCACAGTTTATGAAGACGAATTGGTTGTCCCATGGACACTCGTATCGGTGACCATAGAGCTGACCGTTCAATCGAATCTGACAATCCTCTAATTTCTCTTCTTTTCCAGTGCACTGAAACATATGGTGTTAGAATTTTCCACTTTTTTGTTCTTCTAGCAATACATAAATTACTTTTAGCATATACAGTATACCTGTAACGGTTCTGGCCAGGACCAGACGCGAATCAGAGAGCCAGGATGAAGCTCGTATCTGCGGTCATGGGACACGTAAACATTTAGCGAATCGTGTCCTAATTGACGACAGACCACTTGTGCGTTTCTTTCGGTGAATCTATTGTCGCACAGAGGTATCCATTGCAAAGTTGTTTTATTGAAAAATTCCAAAAATCCTGTAACGATTAATTGAAGTGAATGTAAAGTATATACAGGCTGGTCCATTAAATTTGATTATCTTCACTGTAAATGCTCTAACCTTCGTTGTACAAGGAAGAACATCGGCCATCTTTGCACAAGCGAATAGTCTCTTCCGACATTGAAATGATATTTCCGGAAGTCTTGGTCGGTCTTGGGTTCGCAGAATCATTTGTATCGTTACGTTCCATTGGCTTCATTATGATTTCGTGGCCAGGCGCACCTACGGCCTTCAGTGTGCCCAAAACCAGAATCCCAACGTTGGGGGCAAACTCCATTACCACGTCTGGATAAATGTGCAATGTGGCTTCCGGCATAACGGTGATGTCCGATCGTATCACGTAAGGTTTATCCCTGGCGTGTATGGACAAGTTCTCTACGATACGACCGCCCAAATTGTCCAAGTCCACCTCCTTTGCAATCTGCCAGGAAGCGGAAACTGAGGAATCGAAGGTATCACTGGTCAAGAAGGGCCTGTAATTGGCCACAGCGTGGTCATTCCAGTCGTCGAAGTCGAATATTCTTCGCCTAAAATTGTTCAGTATTGTTAATCGTACACATTTTTGTACAATAGGATCATTAGTCGTACAAAAGCTTACATATTTGTCCCACCTTACCTTATATCAATATCATCAGGAGTACCCCACCAATTCTCAGTGACATCAACTTCATTATTAATCTTAGCCGTTCTGATACCAGCCAACAGTTCATAGTCCAAAGAATTCTGACCGAACAGATTCCTAATTATCTGCACCTTTTGGATACCGTGGAACCCAACCACGTAACTTGGACTATCATCCGTACGACGTGGCCCCATACCAGCCAGATCATAGCTGTTCTGTTTAATTTCATTATGACTGAAACGAGCATGCACGTCTCCCAGAATTTCAGACTGGCTGTCCGCTTTGAACTCCACCATGTAAACACCGGTGTTGCTCTCTATACGATTATTATTGATTTGCATCTTTTTCTCCATTCCGCGGATCGAGATTAGACCAGTCTTGCAACGGTTCCCCTCGAAACGGTTGTGAGAAATGTTCAGCGTGGCGTAATGACCGTCCACTATGAAACTGTACTGTTCGTTGTTCCGCCAGGTGTTGTTGTCAAAGTACAAAGTATGCGTGAAGTTCTCGTTATACTGCCACACGTCTGGTAATAATACATCAAAGCCACCCCTTCGATTCCTTTCCACGGTACTGTCTTGCATTATCCAATGGAAGAGGTTGTTCGAGTATCTCGCGTCACGGCTGAACTGATATATACCTTTACCATTATCGGTGATCAGACTGTCATTAATATGGATCGCGATCTCGGACAGGTTGGTTCGATAGATGTTCCAATAAGGCGAGTTTACATAAATCGCTTCCTCCTGATTATGAGATATCTCACAGCCGACTAGCTGCACGGATTCGTTAGCCTTTCGTAGAAAATGGTCACCAATTTCGTCCAAGTATCTGTTGTAAAACGACGCGAGGATTCCTTTTTTATTGTTCTTGATTTTGGATTTTGTGACCAAAAGAGTCGGAATCGGCCCTCTTACAATTTTACTCCTTATATCCTACGAGTACAGGTTAAACATTTATTTTAAAAACGGTATTAAACAGACTTCAGTAAGATTTGAGATTATGTACGGACCTGTATTGGGGCCTGAATCGCTGTAATAACGATCACAGCTCCGCCAAGCGCATTAGTCCCACTATCATAATCCAGTACTACAGTGAACGAGCTGGATGTAACAGGGAACACAGACAGATCCCTTTTCACATGCCAGACATCTCGATTGAGATCAACATACTGTGAATCGTGTATGACAATCTGTTCTGTACTTCGATTTTCAATAGGATTGAGGAGCTGGATACCGATAACGTATCCTGGCCTGCACTGTAAGATTTATAAAACTGTGTGAAACTTGCACAGACAACAAAAAATAAGAAGATAACGATGCTTCTGATGCACTTACTCGAATGTTAATACGTTGTCTGATGGAATCACCGTTGACTTTAACCGTAATAATATACTTTGTCTCTTCGTTAGAAAGCTCAATGTCCCGCATGTGGTACGGTATGACGATCGGATCGTAGGAAGAATCGATTGAATCTGGTGCCCGTAAGAACCACCCAGCAAATTCTCTCTGTTGGACAGCAGATAGAGCAGGATTGTGTCTTATCCCAGCTATCTTATTGTTCTCTATTCTGGAGTTGATGATCTCCATTCCTAATTGCTTGAAGCTGATACCGCTGCCTCCATTCTGAGAGAAATCGCTGTTTCTTACGGTATTAATCGCGTCGGCTGAATATATATCTGAATAAAGGACTCCTAGGCCATCCTGTAGGTTGTCGATGACTCGGACGCTGTCCAACGAGTGTTTAGCGAAGTCAATTTGTAGAGCTGTAAACATTTAGATGTTCCAAACTGTTTTTCATATACATAAATACGTCTATATAATTTGAACATTTTTGTGACAATATTACCTGGCTTAAACGAGTTCGTGGCATAATCAAGTAAGCCAGCCTTTTCAATGGTCACATACTGGAGATCGCTTCTTTGAGCTAGCGGGCCCAATCGCAGACCCGCCCACGCGGCCTCTGAGCACCTAACGCCCACGTCGTTCTCGTGGCTGCAGGAATTCTCGAAGTTCTCCGCGGTTTCTGCACGACACTTGGAGATGTCGTTGTCGTCCTCTGTACATCTAACATTGCTGAGAATGATATCTTCATTGATGCCCGCGTTTGGAATCTGGGAGCGTTGCATGAGCCAATAATCCGGATCTAAAGTTAAGCCCAATTGGTGACAGACTAGGGCCGCGTCACGGATGGTCCAGCCGTAGTTGCAGACAGTTCCCCATTTCTCGCCAACTTTCACCTTGTCGAATGAACAATTTTATTACTTCCAAGCAATTTTGATGCTCTGGACCAGAATAGATGTACAGTAAAACTATATAGTAAGTAGTCTTGAATTCATGATTAACAAATTCCTTCTACCTGTAATCTACCCTCTAGATTGGTCTTCCCTCCAAGAAGTCGCACAGGCGCCTCTATTTCGTTCATCTCGTTCAGTCCCTCCACCATCATCGTTTGGTTATCCGGGTCCATGATGACCTCCTCTTTCAAGGTAAATAAAATATCGCTAGGTCGTTTTCCACGGGCATCGAGCTTGCCAGCGACCATCATACCCACAGCAGGTGGGAAAAGCAACGTGACACCAGGGTGAAGGGTCAATTTACCACCTGGTCGTACATTAATGTCACGTTCGACAATGTATTCTCCTGAATTCAATAACTCCTGGCCATCTACCTCGCCGCCAACTAAATTTGTACCGGGCGTGAGAAACCGGGGCACAAACGTTGGATTAGAGATAATCGTGGTAGCACCTGGATTACTGCTATGTAGCAAATACGGCAGGTAATCGATCTTAGCAAGATTGTATCTGTCCTTTCTGCAATATAATTTTATATCAGCAATCTTCATAGATACATGTGATTTAATTCTTTTGTACAGCGAAAGACAAACCTATGAAACAATCTATCGAATATTCGGTTCTCTTCGGCGAATCCTAACCAGTTGTAAGTACAATTAATAATTTTCGATTGATCCTCCAAATGGGACCCGATTTCATATCTAGACTCAGGATTGTGTAGAATGTTACGAAAAACTTCAACGTTACTGGACGAAACCACAACCGCCGCTGCTACTCTGGAACGCGGTACCAATCTGGATCCCATCGTGTTACCATTATCGAACAGTTCACGGACACGATTGTCGCGCAAAAAGTTTCTTGTGAATAATAATTTCTGCACATCGCTGTACGGCGAAAGGCCAATGCTGACCACAAAAGCGCCACGGTTTCCGTAAAACTCGTTGTGCTTGATCGTGATGTCAGCGGGTAGAATGTTGAACTCCTCGTAGAGAGGATTTTTAATCGATATACAACCGCTCGATTGTTCCCTGAAGTGATTGTACTCGATGGTTCCATCCAAGTTCAACGCCGGGCTCAGTTTAATTCCAAGCTTCGCGTTCTGCACGAAGGAATTGTGACCAATCTGAAGCCTTAACAGCCCTTCATTCTGCCGCCAACTGGACTCCACTTGTAGTGCCGTCTCGGTGCTGCTATTGAACCAATTACCGGTCACGTTCACGTACGAATTACCAGTCGCGTTGCCAACCTGTAGCGTGAATGTCAAGGAAACGTTACACGTTGTATAAAATACAATACTGAGACAAGCAGTGTCTTCTGTTATCTTCAGTAGTTTACGATTTACAAACGAATAAGTAAACACTTAAAGTCTAAAAATAATACCAACTAATCACGGCAAAATTTTTAGATTGGTCCCACTGAGCAAAATAACAGAAAAATCGGTGTGTGTCGCTTCGCGAACATCTCTCGTGAGTGCTTTAACTCGCTCGAGTAACGAAATTATCAATCAAAGAACGGTACTCACAAGGACACCGATATCCCTATTCCGAAATATCTGCGAATACTCCACCACGGTTGTCTGATTGAAGTTCACGTATTCGGTGGTCGAACTGTCGTTCAGCCAGACTGCGAACCCATAGCCCTGATTCGAGGAGATGCTAGTCCTCGACACATTACGGTTTCCCCCTATATGGGTGATATTAATTCCGTCCCCTGTATTGAACGATATCCGACTACTTGTGACATTCACGTCCGCAGCACCACCATACACGTGTACACCAGCCACGTGTTTATTGCTGGACACAGACGTCTCGTGAATGTGCAGGGCTGAACGTAATTTCTCCGCCGCGATTCCTCTGCCATTGTTGCCAGCGATCACGCTCCCAGTCACATTGAGATCGTACGTTTTCTCTGATAACAAACAGCTGTTTCACATTCTGTTGCAGTGGTTAACACTATAGTGATGGGACTGATACTGATATTTCATAAGGGGTATCGAACCCTTTCGATACTACTCTACATCTGATGAAAATTTACGACCAGGTATCGCTAGCATCAGTGCGGTATCAGTCCCAACACTAGTTAACAACATCGTACAATTTTTTAGACTTACTGTAGCCCGACGATAATCGCACGAATACAAGCGTATTGGTTCGCGGTTCAGCGATGAACTTGACATACAAATTCTGACGTGTCGTCGCCACGCTCTGTGGCAACGTGCCGTTCTTGATCCTGACCCTGGCTAATAATTTCTCCGCGACGCTGGTACCGTCGTACACCTCTATGATCGCGCTGTTGTTTCTGTCTGTCTTCATTTGCAGAAAGTGCATCGTGATAACATGTCCCGGCCGCGTAAAAATGTGCTGCAACCAGTTTAATTACGCATAGTGTATACGCTAACGATTACGGGGTAATTTCATATAATCTCAATTTTTTTAAAGTTATGTACTTGTGGGCACCGTTTCATGTTCGGTGCATATTTGCTCTGTTCCATGGATATTATAACAGGGAACGTCTGACTGGCTGTTGTTGGAAACGTGCACAGATCGAATACTTCTGTACGATCTAGTCTATCATCGGGTCGTTCGTCGAAGTGAACGTATTTGATTCCGTCCGCCCCGTTATCCAATACGGAACAGTCATTGATATGTGTCATTCCGGACGAACTATTTACATAAATTCCATACCCTATAAATCAATTAATCCGTATAAAATGTGTATCCTTCGGCTCCTTGTGCATTGTGGCTTAGCATGTGAATTATTATCGAATATTACCTCTGTTGTTCTGAACTGTACAATTATTTATTACAACAGGCGCGTTCGGCGTGGTGACATTAATGCCGGTGAAGGCGGCATGAAGAACCGAAATCGACTCCATCTGTGGCGGGACACCTTCCACATCGATCGCGGCCGTAACATTATACTCTCGGCCCGTTCCTGCGTGCCTTTTAAAACCAGAAGGGAGAACAATATTACCAAACTGACACGGCAAACGTTACAGAAAGTCGACACAATGGAACACAAGTAGCTTACTCGATCACTATGTTCCGCAGTATCGACTTCGATTTTCGTATATAAAGAGTGTTCTCTTGGATCAGCGGATGTTCGTACAAGGCCCCTTCGAAGCGAATACCTCTCCAGTGTTTAATCGCCTTCGTGGCGCCGTCGTGACGCGGTAAACATCCGACGCCAAGATCAGGATGATAGTCTGGAATCACAAGAACAAGAATGTATCTTGCATCGTCCGGGACCAAGTGATTTATGGACCCCACTATAACGTAAGAGCTCGAAAAGCTTTACCACAAACGCCTCCCCCGAGTTGCCTGTCGGACCACCTCTCGCAGCTTGTCAACGTGAACTCGGTACCTCTGCAACCTGGTTGCTCGTAAAGCAATCGTGGTTTCGCGGGCCACTGTCTGTCCATCCATGACCACCATCGACCGCCTTGGAAACCAAGCTGCCTGCAAGCCGTCTCCAAATCGGCTCGAGTCCAACTGTGCACGAATATAGATGAATTAGGAAGTGATCGATCACCCATCAGGTCCAAAAGAGTTTTAACGTATATAGGCAGTCTCGTATCACTTAACAATGTGACCCCCCGAATATCATTTTTAATTGTGAAAATGCAAAAAATATTTTATATAGCTACCACTTAATACCATTCCAGTTACGTTATAAAATATTTTTTGCGTCTTCGCAACTAGAAAAGATATTCGGTGTGTCATACTTAAATGAGACACTCTGTATAGGTACGTACTTTCGTGAATTTGTGCATACAGCTCGCCACTCGCCCCGATGGAAAAGCTCTAGTCGACCTTCGAACGGAGTCGGCCCGTCAACCAGTCGTATCGTTAGCGGCGACTCAACGGGATGAATCTGATTGTTCGCCTCAGCTGCTGTCAAAACAATTGGCGCTTGTGGTTCACCCTGGAATTAGTAATTCGAAAATAGTACGTACACGGATATAATCTAGGGAATCCTAAAGAATCAGTTATAGTCTATCGTTTGGTACAGTTAATATCTTGTTAGCACTTATCAAGAATCTACTGCACCATATTTTCTACACGGAAAGTTGACGTTTAAGCAACGAATATACCGAGAGTTTCGTTCGGTTACGGATGGGGACATCTAATTTCTATTTTAGTAATCTCTCTGGGGTGGCCAGCAAGCTGAATTAATCACGAGTCACGACCGATGATACGATCATCCTAATTCGTTGGCCGCGGATGAAGGTGGAAGAAGGTCTCGTCTCGACACAGTCGTAAGAGGATTACTGGGGTCGTGGGTTAACAGTTCAGGCCAAGAACCGCCGTTTGATCCGTGACCTGAACGCAACCGCGTGGCGGAGGCGGCCGCGCGTAAGAGCTGATTCACTCGTTCATGCCTTTTACACTCTACACGGCCGTTCGCATCCCGTTCTTAATCGTGCCATTAGCTGCCCGACTCCTTGCAGGGGGCTCTAGCTGGCGGCACTGTCGCGGAAACGCTCGGATCAGAAATCCTCCCGTTACAGCGGATTACTTCCACTAGAGTTTCCCTGAACTCCGTTAACAGCTTTCCCTATTACTCGATTCCAGAATCTCATCTGATTCAGCGCCACACTCGATAGTTCTCTAACAATCACATGGGTGTCATAAGAATAGTTAGAATCATCGTCGTATGGGATTTGCAAGATATCGTGATGATCGTGGGGAATTTACAGCTCGTAGAGGGAGATTTGTCTAAATGTCCCATCACATTATATATTCCTCACTAAATTTGTAATTGCAAATGTTAACTTGTCTTTTCAAACCATACGACAATGATGTAACTAGTCAAAAGTCGAACGTCTTAAAGGACTCGCATATAAGGATCGGAGAGTTAAGAAATATAGTTATTTATTGTTGAAGGCGTACAATTTATTTATAACAAATCTAAAAAAAACGCTCCTTTATTCGAATTTGAGATATACGTTAGGAGTTAGACGATCGAACTATTAATAACACCGATTCTGTGCATCAGTGCCCTGCACACAATACGTATACGCATCACGGCCGGGCAGCAATCGTACCCTGTCGGGTACGTGATGCGAATAAAGCAACAATTCAGCCCAAGCTTGCGTGTTTCTGGAATTTCCGGTCATTCTATGTTGTCCTTTACAACGGACACGCACCGAGAGACCTTTTCTGCGCGTTCCTTCACGAACCGTCGTCGTTTAACGTTTCCCTGGACTCCGGAGAAAGGTCTCGACCCTTAAAAGACAACAATCCAAAGGGATTGATATTTCGAATATCGATACTTTTCAAATCAGATAATGATATTTAATAACCCATAAATACCGAGATTCCCATAAAGTTTGCGATTGGTTGATTTCTTTTTCACACTGTTAGCATGAGATGCTGCCTTAGCATATAACTGCTTAAATAAATGATTTATTTTCATTGTTGGATTTTATTACTCCGACTTTCATAGCAAGTATCAATACCGATGATATCGATATTTTATTCCCGATATACATGTGTGTATCGATATACTCTGAGTATCGATACGTATCGATACCAAATATCCATACAATTCAAATGTATCTCCATCACTTACTTGCGAATCGTGAAACTCCATTTCCAACGGACCCCCCCCCCCCTTTTTGCGACATTCAAAAGTGCGCGGGTCTGCATTGTGTGAACACGCGGTTAAGTAGCGCGTAACGAGAGACAAAATGAGCTGAGGGCATTCGAGAGCCGACAGCGATTACGATTGCACCGGAAAGACAGTTTTATAAAGGCAATATAAGGTTACCACCCTTTCCTCCACGGGAGTCTATTCCGTCCGGATGAAATTTCACATGGCTAGAGCGTGCCGGGACAATGCACCTCGTAGAAAGTGAGAATCAGTGTCTACAGGGGGTGGGGTGTCCAGAAAATTTCCCGACAAACAGTGGAACGTGTTTAGCGTTGGCGTGTGACGTGTATACACTTGGGAAATCGTTTCACATGCTAGATCTACGCGCGAATAAAGGTTAGTTTACAATACCATCATAACCGTTCGGATACGAAACGGTTACGCGACGGTTCCGTTCAAATTTTTTTAAACACGTTGACTTAACCCTCATCCCCGTCCCTTGCGTCAATTTGACATATTTTTTCCCTATGAAACGAGGTAATCCTGTCATGAATTTAACCGTGGCTCTGTGATTTTTACTTGAAAGAATTTACAAATTTAACTATTTATCTCTTCATTATATTAATTTTGTACTATGATGATTTTGATTTCGTAGGCATCAATCACCACACGTTCATAATCAGGCCGCATCGGGAGTGTAGGCAAGGAACGTGCTTATCTCTTATCGAATACCGTGGCGATATCGATCCCCTGGGATACTTTTAACGCGAGCAGAGATACCAGAACATTCTTATATCCGTTCGGGGGAAGCGATTGTGAAATGCTGCAGCAATTAGGACGGTCGTAAGAAAAAGAGTTCTCGCGGATTGCGGCGATACTTCGTTGGAAAGAGACTCGTAAAATGTTCCGGGAAGTGAAATTGGTAACCGTCATTCTCCGGTTTCTGGTATGTCCTCTGTAGTAGTAACACGTGTGCACAATCGTACGTCTGGATGAGTCATGTTCATTCAACGTTAGCACACATGTATACACGCCTTTAACATTCATCTTCTTCGTGTGTATACACGACCGCGATGATGATCCAAATTGCGTATACACGCACGGCTAGAAATATGCGTTTGGAAACGAAATCTGTACTCGTACCATGTTTAATTGTTTGTACCTTAATTACTGGCAATTAGTAACTAGAAATACGTCTGCTTCCTTTTGAGTTACGATCGTTATCGATACATGTACTCTGTATTTTGATAGTATTTATACTTGGGGTAGTTACAGGTACTCGTAAGAATATTATTTCGATGCCCGATTCTCATGGTTCAGTGCACTTGACCTCAAAAATATTAGATACTCGATAATTTCAGTACAGTGTACTCGCAAGAATAGTATTTAGGTGCTCTATTCTCATTATCCAATGCACTAGATCTAAAAAATACTAGGTACTTAATACCGAATAATGTACAACATTGAATATTCAGTAGGCAATATGTAGGGTATTCTCGTATTAGGAAATCTGTAACCACCTTTGTACTCAACCTTCCGTGAAATGTATTCCACGTAGTAGCATCGTAACGCACTCGGTTTTACACCTCGTTTTTACGAGTGACTTACCTTCGCAGTAACGATGCCACGAACAGTGATACCGATCATAGGACCGAATCGAATCTCTACTCCTGCCTCGATCACCAGTTCGCCGTCCCGTTCGACGAACAGATCCTCCCGGACCAGATAAGGGCTTTTGGATCTTTCCAGTACTCGTTGTCCCCTGACAATATGACCGTCCCTTAGTTCCGTAAGGCCCCTGTTCGCATTGCCGCTACTTGAGTTAATGAAAGTTGGCTCGGTGTAGTAAATGGACGACTGGTCGAACCCTTCGTCCGACTGTCCGCCAACGACAGCCAGAACAACGAACAGCAGACCTGGCAGTAGCATTTTTTTCTTGCACTCAATCCAAAGTCTGAAGTCTGAAGAATCACTCTGTCACCGGATCCTGCGTGAACCATGAATTATGAATATTCGAACGATCATGTAGCTTAAGGTCTTTCACTTTGTGCGTCGTCTTGCTCAGGAGCCTCGGACACTCCAGTGACACTTGTTGCAACATTTAGCTGAATGAGCATGGGCCGGTTACGGGAAAAAAAAAATTGATAACGATATTTGTACACCGATAAAACCGTTTACATCGACAGATTTCAAAGGTATAGTATATTTAACACGCAATCCGGTTCGTGTTCTACGAATCTCGTTCTTTTTCCGCGGATATTCAGATGCGTCACACAACGATGATGCGATCCGTACAGGTTCGTGACGCGCGTGAATCGGACCAATACACTTTCACTGAACGTGTCATTAACGCGTCGAACGATTAATCGCCAATGTACATCGTGGATTGATTCGGCACAGAATTTCTAGGCCCCAGCGTGTAAATACAGGTGGACAAACAAGACACGGTTTTATTAGTATCGCTCCTACGCTATCCAATAATTCAACGTTCGTCGATCATTCAAGGATCTTTGGTTCGATCCTCTGTCTCCTTGTAAACATTCACTTCGCCGAAAACATCCGTCAGAGGATCCATCAGATCACTGTCAATATTCAACTTCCACGGGGAACTTGTACGCAAACGCAAAGGTGCACCACCGTATATATTTTAAATTCGAGCATTAACCTTTCCTCTTCGTTGGTACTCTTTCACGCGCGAGAGATCGCAGCTCGACTGTGGCGCGACTCCTCGGCCTCACGGTTGCCGTTATACTCTACGTTGAAAACCCTCTTCGAACAACGATCGGAAAAGACGCCGTGTGTACAGTCCTTACCAGAAAGAAATCTGTTATTCTCCGTGAACGGTCGTGTGTCGGGATCACGATTTTACGTCAAACTTTTACGTTCGATCGGAGGGCGTTCACACGAATGTCGACGAACGACAAGTCCTCTTTCGATGGATATTGAACGATCACCACCACCACGATCTATTGGGGATCCCCGTAACGGATCACAAACAAACGTAGATCACTGGAACGTCGCTGCGTCGCGATGGCCACCTGGCGTCATGTTGGGCGCGGTTTGACTGGTTCGACTCCGTCGTCTGTTCACGTCGGTTTTTGCCAGTGAACGCGCCTCCTCGCCTCGCGTCCTACCGCCAGGCACACTACACTGTCGTGGCTACCATAGACGACCGCTGCTATTGTTACTGCTACCACCTACGAACGCTGAAAGGTAAAGGCATGTCACGTGACCGACGGTACGCGGATACGTCACGCAGGTTGTGAAACAGGTGAGTATACGCTCACTGGGAAACCTGTCTCCCCTGTCTCCCTGTACGCTCCGTGACTCTAGGATGGTCTTGTATGCTTACACTTTTCACGAATTCTATCTCACCTTCTGAGAGTAGGTATACGTAGTATATATACCCTTCCTTCATCTTTCGAATAAATACTCGGTATATTAGCGTTTAGTTCAAGTTATTTTATATTAATAGCATTAAGAGTATTAAGATTATATTCAATAGTATGCCAGTGCATATTACGATTAATATGGACTCTCTACTATTGAATATGAAGTATTAATCCTTTCAGAACTGAATTTTCTCATAAGAGTAAAAAAAATATTTGATTACACATTTTAACTCAGTAGGCTGATAGATATTTTTTTGAAAAAAAAATCTTGTAAGAAAGTTCATCTACAAAATGCGATTACCAGGTCTGAAAGGGTTAAGATAGTAGTTCTAAGGTGAAGAACGAAGACATCCGACGAGGCAACTTAGTTTCTATAGATTTAGGCTCAAGAAAGAAGTCATCCGCCGAGGGATTTTAGTACCGATAGTATTACATAGTTAAGATTTAAGTTATTTATAAGGTTCATTGTGAAAGGTGGGTAGATGTGGAACTTGTGATTCCATTTACCTGCCTTGGGCCTCCACTCGCAGCAACCTCCTCGTGGTGAGGCCTGGGCAATCGGTATTATCATCGGTAAAGTACTATAAACTGAAGACAGTATCGAGCTAATGGCTGCGAACTTTGAATCTATCTCATAAACGGCGAATCAGTGTGTAGGAATACATATATAAGTAGACTTAAGGCAATTGTTGTTAAATTTATAGAAATATTATTGTAAATTGTATATTTTCGTACGATTTTTTCAATAAAAATCAGTCAAATCATACATATGCGTTATTCATAAATCTCCGCACTATCTTCACTCCTATCCTAATATCAATTAACCAAAAAAGTAATAAGAAATAATAAATAATAACAAAATAATTAATTCCTAAACTTTCAAGTTTTGGAAGTTCTGGAATTAGTTCCAATTTTCGCTAACAAAATGATGGGGGCGCCACTTAATGTCCCATATTCTCCCAAATTTTTCCGGCACATTTTCTGAATCCAAGATGGCGGGAAACGGTGGGGTCATGGAACCCCGCAGGTAGCGCAAGAGACACCGTGTAGTGAGACCTTGGGGTCACAGAGCCCCACAGGTGGCGCCAGAGAACCCGTGCGGTGCGCCCGTGGGGTCACAGAGCCCTCAAAGGTAGCGCCAGGAACCCCCGCGGTGAAACCGTGGGGTCGCAGAGCCCCCGCGGGTAGCGGCTGGGACCTCCGCGGTGAAATCGTGGGGTCACAGAGCCCCCGCGGGTGGCGCCCGGTACCCCCGCGGTGAAATCGTGGGGTCGCAGAGCCCCCGCGGGTGGCGGCAGGGACCTCCGCTGTGAGACCGTGGGGTCACAGAGCCCCCGCAGGTGGCGCCAGGAACCCCCGCGGTGAAACCATGGGGTCGCAGAGCCCCCCGCGGCCGTCGCCTTGAACCCCGCGGGGGGGGGCTGTGGGGTTACAGAGCCCCCATAGGTGGCGCCAGGGACTCCGTGCGGAGGGACCTTGGGGTCACAGAGCCCCCATAGGTGGCGCCAGGGACTCCGTGCGGTGAGACCGTGGGGTCACAGAGCCCCCACAGGCGGCGTCACACCGACGGAGAGCACCGATACCGTGTTCGCTCTCCCGCTCTCGCTCGCTCCGGCCATCCCCGGGGGCTCTATGACCCCACCTTCTCACTCACAGGGGTCTCTTACGCAGGCTGCGCGGGTTAGATCGTAGGGGTAGGAGGAAATCTAGTTCCAGATTCTTAGATCGAGCACGTCATAATAAATTTTGTATGTGCGCATTATAAGTTTAATGTTTATTACAATTTCCATAACAGATTACTTAATAATTATTCGGACAAATAAATTTTTTCATGAACTTTGTATTACTGCTGTCGGGTTCTCTTGTGGTAAATCATGACTTTAACCATGATCTCAGAATTCTCGCTTTATTTAACATAATTATGATTTATTGCACATTGTAACAAGACATATAGAATGTAATTTGCATTTTTTGTACTTATAGGACGCTTAATCATATTTATTTAATGTGGAGCAATTTGTGTATTTGTTGCAAGTGCTTAGATCAATATGGCACACTAGTTTAATATAGTTTGTCATTCTGTATAAAACTTCTGGATGAATCAATTATTACATTTACACAGAGATACATGTATTGAAATTAATTTTGAAAGTAGAAAATGCTTAATACTAGACTAATATACATCTAAATTGAGCTTTGGTTTAAACTTTGGTAACTAGATACCACCATGGTTTACATCTTAATAATTAAAAACCATTGAACTATTAAACAATATTTAACTAGCCAATGCTTCAACAATTATAATTAAGATTTATAACCATTTGGATTATTTTGTTGCCATTTCCATGTGTCTTTACCTAAAATAAGTTATATGTTAAATGAGAACTGATCAAGATGACTAAGTATTTGTATGACTTACACATATCATCAATATTCTTAGTGGCTTGCCATCCTAATTCCTTATTAGCTACACTAGCATCTGCGTAACTAGCGGAAATATCTCCAGGTCTACGTTCAACAATTTGATATGGTATCACTCGACCTGATGCGTTTTCAAATGCGCGAATAACTTCAATAACTGAGTAACCTTTTCCAGTACCTAAATTGATTGCTTTGAATCCAGTTGGGCATTGAGTTTTTTGATAGATCATTGCTTTTACATGGCCTGATGCTAAGTCCATTATATGAATATAATCACGAACGCCTATAGATTATATTAAAATTACACCATTTACTACAAATACTTTTAAACTTACAATTGTTTTACTATTCCACCAACCTGTTCCATCAGTAGTGTCATAATCATTACCATAAACATTTAGCATTTTTCTTTTCCCAACAGATACTTGAGCAATATATGGCATTAAGTTGTTTGGAATTCCATTAGGATCTTCTCCAATTTGGCCAGATGGATGAGCTCCAACTGGATTGAAATACCTTAGAGATATGACAGACCATGCCTAGAAATATTTTTGTGACAAACACTGAATTGCAACAAAAATTAAACATATTAAAAAGTTATACCTTATCAGATATGCATAAATCTTTTAAAATTTCTTCAACCATGTACTTTGTCTTTCCATAGGGATTTGTACAGTTGCCAGTATTCATGTCTTCAACTAGTGGAAGCTTTTCTGGGATTCCATAAACAGTGGCACTACTTGAATATATTAGATTCTTGACATTATACTCTTTCATTGCTTCTAACAAATTCAATGTTCCACTAACATTTGTTTTATAGTATTCTAATGGTTTCTCACAGGATTCACCCACAGCTTTTAAAGCAGCAAAATGTATAACACAATGAAAGTTATTCTAAAATACAAATAATTGTAGTTTTAATTGCATATTTTGATCCTTGATATAATTATTAATTGTACCTTTTTAAATACATCTCGCAACTCATTGATGTTTGTTATGTCACATGGAAGAAATGTAATTTGGTTATTTGTCAATTTTTCTACTCGTAATAAACATTCTGGTTTTACATTACTGTCTCCTGTAGATGAAGTATTGAAGTATATAATAATTATCAAATAGTTATGGCAATTTGAATAGGGAAAAGAATTAAAAGTGCACTGATTAAATATTTATAGTTAACAATTCTATATAGTTTCATCCAAACAAAGGCAACAAATGTTAGTACAATTTCAAAGAATATAATAAAATGTTGACAAATATTTTTTCTAATTTGATGTATTACTCCTCACCTTTATAAGCATTACTAAGGTTGTCTATTACCACCACCGTAAAATCTGCTTCTACTAGTTCCAATACTGTATGAGAACCAATATAACCAGCACCTCCCGTCACCAGTACATTCCAGGAATCATTTCCCATTGTTTTATTTTTTGTGCTAATTGTTAATATCACATTTAACAGTTATTGTGCCATAAATTAATATACATTCTTACATTCTGTTTCAAGTTAGACTACAACATGTTTGGGTCTTCTACATTAAACTTAAATGTAACATTTAGATTATGAATGATTATGTGAATATAGATTGGCACAGATCAATTTATACAAAGTAAAACCAGCCAAAAATCTGTTTATTCTATTAAAGGTACTATCAACTTGCAAATCAAGTAAATACTTCATTATATTGTATTAAGTTGTTAATTATACTGTGTTGTTTGAGTGAACTATACATTGATAAAATTCACAGTCTACTCATAATATTTATTAACATCATATCTCGCACAACATACAAAAAAGTTACAAATAGTTATAAAAAAATGGGACAAATTGTACCTTGATGTTTGACACGTAAGCAATTAACCTCGCCACACGACAGCAGGAAACATACTGCATACCTCGGTGAGAATATACGAGAGATATAAAAGTTTGTATTTCCTGATAACGTTACGCAATTCGGATACGTCATTATGGGTTTGACGCCAATCTATTGTGTAGAATTATGATTAAACTACAAATGAATGGAAAATTTGTTGAGGTTACAACTTCCTCGCACATTTTATAATAAAAATATCATTAATCTATTTATCTAATAAATTTCACTTGAATAAAACCTGGACAAAAATAACAATGCGATATCATAATGCAAACAAATTCAAACACCTATTTGTTTTCTGTTCATTGTCAATAAGACTCAATATATGCTATATATATCTATGTATACAAATTGTATACAGGGTGTCCCATGTAATGCTGGTCACGTTAGCATATACAAGAACTTATTTATAGTTCAACGGATAGCACGATACACATATTATCAGAACCACAAATGTATCATATCAATTGGAAGTGGTCTTACGTGACATAAGAAGATTTTGCGCGTTAAAACAAGCTGCTCTTTGTGAATTTATTACAACAAAATTATTATGTATAAGTAGAATTTAAGACAATTGTTGTTAATTTTATATAAATACCATTGTAAATTGTATATTTTTTTAAAGAGTTTTCAATAAAAAGACAGTCAAATCATACATATGCGTTATTTATTAATCCCAGCACTATCTCTCAGCTATCAAATAGCAGAATAATACATTCTCAAAATTAAAAAAAAGCACGCGAAAGGTGCAAAATCAAGAAATTGCTAAAATGACGGTAGCCACCTGGTCGCGAAAATTGGAACTAATTCTAGAACTTTCACAAAAAGCGCGGGAAACTGGAAGAAACTGACATGTGGCGAGTTTGAGAACTAGGTCAAAAGTTCTAGAATTAGTTCCAATTTCCACCACCAAGTGTTTACCGAAATTTTATAATTTTCCCGTTTTTGCAGTTTTCGCGCGCTTTTTCAAATTCAAATTTCGCGCTAAATTGAACTTCAATTTTATTTTAATGCAATTTAACTAAGTTTACCAATTACTATTTATTTATTTATTTAAAATATGTGGTAGTCGTAGTAATAGGCTTAATAAACAACACATATGTACCACTTAATTGTTTTGTACCACTTAATAGTATTTAAATAAATTTCACAACAAATTTAAATACTACTTATATATACGATTTTACAAAATATTTATAACAATATGTGCATAAATTCAGTAAAACAAGGCTTAAATATTATTCAAACTTATAAAATATTGTAGTTTATCCATCGCAAATAATTCTGATAATAAATCAGATCACCTCTTAGTACTCAACATTATCTTATTCTCTTCCTGAGTTTAACGGGATTAATAATAAAAAATATTCTTTCGAGAATTTACAGGATTAGAGGTCTAACAGTAAGGCGTAAGAAAAACCAACACGTCTCTGTTGAGTCGACGTTGCAAGTTGCAAAGCATGAGGTCTTAGCCCGGGGAGAGTCGGTGCACCGAGATTGGGGCCTCTCGCAGCCGCAACATTCTGTTCTTGTGAACCTCCCACGAGGCAAGGCACGCTGTTAAATTCCCCCTCCTGAAACAGCAGGACGGCCCAATCAGAGGTTTGCGTCACGATCCCGCGTCGCGACCTTAAGGCCCTAGAATCGTCGGCAATCGCTTCTGGGATCGCAGGGCCCTGCTCATCGCTATGTTTCTAGTGCGCGATTTTCACGCGAACCCTTGATCTACGCCGACGTTCTGGGTGTCGGTGATTCGACATAAATTGAAATTACATGATGCGATTATGAATGTGATAAGATAATATTTGCAAACTAGGAGAATATACTGTTCTGGAGTAGACGGGTGTTGTCAACGATCGAATCGTTACGCTTCCTTGTGTATGTCAGAGACTGAATGTAGGGAGCGAGAAATTGTTCAGTCGGAAACGGTTCAGCGTTCTAATCGGTTAACAATTGAACACGCGGTGTGTGAAAGCCTATCCGTCGCGGTGCGGTGCGAAGCGGTCACGGACGACAAGGTTTCATTGGAATGCCCCACTCGGTGTTACGGCACTGCTGCTTGTGAAATGCGGCGGCCCGGCAGTGAGAAAAAACGGGGGCCCGATCGAGCGCATTAGCTCTCGGGAGTGCAATATCGCCGGTATCCACAGGATTCTGTGAGGAAAAAATCAAGCGGGAGAGTGCCTTGGGCCGGACAGACGGGAACACCAGACTCCTGGCCAGAGCCTCTGTGTTCCTAGTTGCTTTCGTAGTCGAACTATGCTTATATGCGTCGATCGAACCGCCGCTGACAGATGGAATGCGAGCATACCGCGCGATCGTTTGGAGCTTAAGCGTAACGCGAGGACGACGACTCTTTAATACTGCGTCGAAGCCAAGGCTGTTCCGTACGTGGCATCGGGGATTCGTTCAGCGCAAGAGTTCAACGATAACAAAGTTGTCACGGCCTCTAGTATATCTGCGAGGACTTTGTCAGAATTTGTCAGAATACGCTGAAGCAACAGAAGCTGTGCTCGAAGAACTGTGTAATAGTGTCGAAGAGAGTGAAGCAATAAGTATCCAGCAATAGATCCAAGAACAATCATAAACAACAGTGCCTTGAAAATTCCGAGTGAGTGGAGTACTGATTTAACAAACGCGCAGTAACTGCGAAGAACAGTGCTCGTGAAGAGAATATGCAAGGTATCTCAGAGGGGTCCACATCGGTGTCGAAGAAGACGCACGGCATAGTTTGACCCACGGCACAGGGGCCTGTTGGCCGATAAGGTAAAGCTCGCGGAGGTAAGGCAGGGGTATTTGGACGGGCCAGCACTTAAGTGGTAAATCTCATCTTCGGAGAGAAAGAGAAAGGAGAGGAAGAGGGAGAGAGAAAGAGAGAGAGAGAGATAGGTAGAGAGTGCGGGAGAGTAAGAGAAAGAGGGACCGCACATTGACCCAGATTTTAGCGGGTCGTACGAGGTAAGCCGGCAAGAAGAAGCCACGGTGGTGGACTTTCTGAAATGGGACACGGCACAGCCTGGAGCTAAATTAGCCGCGATGTCCAATAAGAGTAAGTCCCAGCCGCAGCATCCGTCGCACGTGATCAAGTCAGCGGCAGTGGAGCAAGTGCCACCGCGATATCAACCACCGCCGCAACCAACCACCGGCATCCTAAAAAATCAGCATCCTCATTTTGGTATTGGCTCTTCTGTGTCGACCTCGGTGTCGACCGCTGTTCAAGGTTCAGCTGCGACCTTGAGTCATCATCAAACGGCACAACCGCGACCGGTCCCGCAGCAGAAGGATGCGCAGAGCAAATACTCGCCCAGGATAGAGCATCGACATCATCCTCAAGGCAGTAACGCTGTTATAACAACGGCCCTCCCAAAAACCCAGCCGCACGGCTACCTTCAGGCCAAGGTCGGCCAAGGTCAGTACTTGCCACCTAACGGTCAGTATCCTCCCACGGTAAACACTGCACAAACGCCACCGATCAGACAGAGGATCACCGACGACGAGTTCCTCAGACTCGGACCCGTGGAGATGCTCAAATTCGTCCGCAAGACAGAGAGCGATATCGCGAGGCTCGCAGCCGAGCAGAACCGACAGATACAGAGCTTGGTGAGTCCCGTGTGTTTTCCGATTAATATCTGAAAACCAGATAACGTTATTACATGCGCAGATAATGAACAAAAATTCTACAAAAATATGAAATCTTCGGATCTGTTACATGTTTCCGGGGCGGATTTAATTTTTCACGGCAAAACTTTAAGATGTTTCCCGGTTTTTCGATCTTCATTCGAAGTTAACGATGAATCAAAGCTACTTTTGTTTTCAAAGCACTGTATTCGTTTGGTCCCCCTTCGTTTCTGGTTACTTACATACTCCTGAGCACGTTACACGGAAGTTTTTGAGGCTCTTCTAGGTCACACGGGTCGAGCTCACCATCGTAATTTCAACCAGTCACGCACATGTGAGTCTGACCGTGAACGATCGCGACGACAGTCAGATTCTTTTTAATTTGGCGAATTCGATAACCGATACTGGGAATCGATGATGATACTTTTCACGAATATATAATGCACTATAAGAAATTGTGTTCGAATGAATTAGTCTAGTAAGATCTTAGATAATAAAAATTTCAAATTCACATTTTAAATTAATGCAATACGTACATACATATGTATTATGCGGGACCGTGTCTGTTTACAGCTCGGCGAGTTGCGAGCGTTGAAGGAGGCGAACCAAAGATTAAGCGACGATAACCAAGAGCTGCGGGATCTTTGTTGCTTTCTGGACGACGATCGCCAAAAAGGACGGAAGTTGGCGAGGGAATGGCAGAGATTCGGAAGGTATACTGCGAGCGTTATGCGCCAGGAAGTCTCCGCCTACCAGAATAAATTACGTCAGTTGGATAACAAGCAGCAAGAGTTAATCAAGGATAATCTAGAGCTGAAGGAGTTGTGTCTTTACCTGGACGAAGAGCGGGGTGGAGGCCAAAGGGACGACGGTGATGGTTCAAGTTCGAGTACCAATGCCGAAGAAACTGCTCTCCCAAGACCTAGGCATGCGTCTACATTTAATGGTAAGTTCTTCGAAGGGAAGCAGCCTGCCTTTCAAGTGACAAAAATTACGTTTACCCGACCGAAAGCATCGAAAACATTTTACAGATCAAACGATGCAGTACGTAAAGAGTTTAGAACAACGAGTCAAGCAATTGGAGGAAGATAAAAGTGTCCTACAGGCACGGGCACAAGGATGGGAAGTACCCCCGGGTGAAATTTGGGAGAATCCAAATAGTCCTGGCGATAATCCACATTTAGGAGGTCGACCGGAAGCAGTGGTACGAGCTCTTCAGGTTCTCGAGGTCAGGGAACAGCTTGAAAGAGAAGGCGGCCACGACGGGGAAAAAGCTTTAGTCAGAGAAATGTGTAACGTAAGTTCTTTTCTATACCCTATGGAATCCCTTGTAAATGTAATATCGATATAACACGTACTGATGATAGTTTTAATTCATTCCAGGTTGTCTGGCGAAAGTTAGAAGAAGGCCCGCAAACGAGGCATTGAAAATTGTATTATAAGCACGATTCGTTGAATCGTAATGTAAATCGTTATTGCGCAATCCATTTGCTCGGACGGCGTATCTAATAGTATTATAGTCGTTAATGCGGATGTTATGAATTTTATAGATTTATACGCATGTACCTACAAGTATTTCGATGTAAGAGTCAAGTGTGCCGAGTTTGTAGTATTTATATGAAAACTGTAGCGCCAAGAGATCATCTGCAGGAACTGTTAAGAAACTCTATTTTTTATTATAAATCGGTATCATTTTATTTCGTGTATCCTGAATATATCCCATTCTTGCTTCGTCGAAGAGATTCTACTTGGAGATGCAAAGGCAAGGTTAAACGGAATCAACACGTATCTAGGGATGCAATCCAAAGTACCATAGCATTCATGAAATAATTATTTCCGGAGTTTATGCTACACCTTTATCCACAAAAAGGTCTCGTTTTGTATACCGATTTCGTCTCTATTTTTAGCGTGTCAAAGAACCGTTTTCAGGGTTGGGTGTAGCGGTGGCCTACATTTCCTACGACTTAGTTTCCGTACAGAGTTACGTAACGTACGAATAATTCAGGCGTTATTAGGATTTAAATAAATTAAATCTGACACAATCCGTAAGCTACCATTTTAATAGAAACTCCAACGAGTAGAGACTTTACGTGAATGGAAAACACGACCGTAATAAAATAAGAGTAAATTTGATTAAGCTTACGATTTGCTGAATATTACGTTTACCTAGATACCCCAATGAGTGAATTCAGTAGCTAAGCGTGAAATTCAAACGGATAATCTAAATAATGCGTCTTTGTAATGCTCATTAGGGGGATGCATCCGTAAATCTTCGCGGATGTCTTCGCCGAGTTTGCGCCGACCCGGATGAAAAGTAAAGGTGGGGATCGCGCGTCCAGTCACTTGTGTTCAGAGAAAGAGGGAGAGATGAGAATCGCCGGTGATGTGCGTGTGCAGTTGCCTCGGGGAGGACAACTCGAGGTTCATCCTTCTTTTCGGTCTTCTGACAGTGTACATGCTCGCTGGCGCTGCACTCTTCCAGCGATTGGAGGCTGACCTTGAAATACAACAGGTATGAAGTGTATAAAGGTATGAGTCGATAAAATCGCGGTAAACGCTTATGCATTTATGCTAAACTTCCGTTCGCCGTGCAGGCGGCAGAGTTTTGGCGTGTGTACCATACATTTCGGAGGCATCATCTGCAAAGTGGACCGGTCGCTCTTCAGAGACTAGACGAACTATTGTACGCTTATGGAAACGCTTCGTCCTCCGGCATCATCAACAAGAGTCGCCGATGGGATTTTCCTGGCAGCTTTCACTTCGTCGGTACCATCGTTTCCACGATCGGTAAGAAACAACATCGTGGCCTAATTTGAAATTCTGCGTGTTACGTTTCGTACCGTGGAATTGAACCGAAATAACGGGTCAGTAGAACGTGTGCGATGTACACTTTATCGTAATCGTACTCCTATATTTTCATTCGGTTTCGGAAAATGTTTCCATCGAGTATGTAAACAATATTATTGCGAAACGTTTTGCAACATTCGCCCCACATACCTCGTATTTCGTGCGTTTCGGTATTTTCCAATCGTTCTCTGGAAGTCGATTTATTGACTACTGTTATTATCGCGCGAAACTTGGTCAGAACTGCGATGAATATAAAGGGGTAAAGGGTCGTCGCCCGCGGCACGCGCAAGAATGTACCGGTGAATTCCAGAATGTTTAATATCTTGCGACCTAGTCTTGCAGTTATCCCCTGCAATCCCTTTAGCCCAGTATTCTGAATTGCATCCAAAGGAATTACAGACCTGATTCTGAATCCGTTTTCCAGGATACGGGAACACCGCGCCACAGACGACGGCGGGTAAAGTTGCCGTTATTATCTACGGATTCATTGGCTGTTCCGGTAAAAATATTCATTACTGTCTAATAAGATCGATTAACGAAGAAACATTAATTTCCTTGGTACAGGTGGAATTCTGTTCTTCAATTTGTTTCTCGAACGAATCATCACGTTTCTTGCCTGGATTTTGCGGATCATTCATGTGCACCGTTTAAGAAAACGTATTCGGAAGACATCGCTGACAACACGGCACGGTTCAAAAAAATTGGAGCGGCAGAGATCGTCGGTACCGGACGTATGTGACGATGATGACAACGATATGGACCTGGATCAGTGGAAACCGAGCGTTTACTGGGTGATGCTCTATCTGTTGTTATTCTCTTCTACCATTGTGTGTTGCGTCGCTGCTATTTATGCCCCGTTCGAGGATTGGGAATACTTCGACGCTCTATACTTCTGCTTCGTTAGCTTCACGACCATTGGCTTCGGAGACTTCGTCGCTACGGAAAAAACGCACTATTCTTATGTTTATTGGTACGTATTTTGTTACTGTTCACGTACATTGCAGTTACTGATTCGCATTTTCTTGGACACAGGTACCGTTTCGTTAATGTTGCGTTCCTTTTGGCCGGTTGCTGTTGCACGTATTCCCTGTTAAACGTGACATCGATCGTGATAAAACAAGGATTAAATTACATTATACAGAAGTTACAATCCGGAGATCAGGATATCATCGCGCCACATTTTCCGAGAAGGAAGTCCTCCGTATCAACGATGTATTTCTCGAAGAGGAGGGGCACGAGAATAGTCGGAAGAGATTCTATCAAGGGAGACATTGCAGAGATGCCTAGAAGGATGTCTGGAGAGATGATCTCTATGAAGGATTTCTTCTCAGCGAACAAAGTCTCCTTGACTGTAATGCAAAAACAGTTGCACGAAATGGCTCAGTTGCAAAAAGGAGGTACCTCGATCGCGACAGTATCCAACGCGAGTGCACTTAAACCTGACGCGGTTGGTCCTCTAGCTATCGTCAGCGAAAAGTTTAAAAGTAAAATTTGCAAAAATAGATAAAACAGACTTTTAGACGTGCTAAATGACGACACTAGTTTTTTAGATAAACAGAGAAATGGAAATTATTCTTGTAGCAAATCTGTCCGGTCGAAAACGTTTATCTTTACTTTGTACACGCGATACACTTCTAAATATTTTTTATTACCGGATCTTCCGGTATAGTTAAACGTACGTATGTCAGTCACTGGGTAACTTTATTTAAGTCATGTTTACAATACAGTTCTCCATGTACTCAACAACATTAACAAACATGCACTCTTTTGTCTTCGCTTCGACATAATATGTATCATATTATGTGTACATACATAATGCATGTAAAATAAATTTCGTATCTCTCTTGGCAATCTGTTATTTAAAGAGGTTACGCGCTGGAAATTGTAATTCGCGGTGTCTTTTCAGTGTTTTCTGTATAAATGGAAATTCGATGAATCGATAAAGTGCGCATGAATCTATTCACCAAACGTTACAGATTTTACATGCATCCTAAGATTACAAAGACAAAAGTATTTCTTGTCTAAGTAACTATTGAATACCGTCAATTTCAACCACATATTTCAATTCGATGAGCATATGATGGATGCGAATTAGTCGCGCTAGATCGCGCAAGAGCGAAACTGGTCGGGTCGATCCCGCGAAAAAGAATTTTTTCGATTGAAGAGCTATGACCGAAAATACAGACATTTTCCTCTACACGAGAATGATAGAGACCAGCGATCACGACGAAACATTGTAAGTTACGAGAGAGTAAAATGTGAACGATCTTTTACGGACTACTATATTCTCGTGTAATCTACAGACAATTGTTTTATCATGAAAGCCAAATGCGACATGTAGATATACTACAATCGGGTCTATAAAAAAATGTCATATCGCACAGACAAGATTATACTGATCTAACAATAAGATTCAGCGAAACTGTGTTATTCAAATTCAAGCCGAGTTTAAATTTCACTTTAAACTTGATGCTCAAATTCGACCACTAACATCCATAATTGAATCACATCGAATTGAAGCCTTTTTTGTTTGTAATTTTAAAAGAAACTACTAGGAGTTAATGTCAGAGAAATGTACCAACAGTACAAGGAGTTGCTCTACCTTTTTGCGCTCTGTAGTCGTAATACCTTGAGCATAGATCTCAATAACTACATGTTTCCTGTTGTGTTTAGTCTTAAATCTCCATGTTTGTGTTTCCCGTTGTGTGTTTAGGCTTAAATCTTCATTCCTGTGTTTGCCCATTGGGCTCGAAAGTTTTCATAAAACAGTGTATACTCCGTTCCAACAAAGTTTTCAATGCCACGACCTAGTCAAGGTCGCGACGTCTATGTCAACCGTACAACCAACAAATCGACGCCGAGTGTTTCGCACCGACGTCAACAAAGCTGTGGCCTAAATATTTCCCAGCGGAGCATCAATGGCTCCTCGTGGGCGACGACACCCTTATTTGGCAACGACAGCAAAAAGCACAATGTTCCTCCACTGTGCACAAATTCATGAGATTCATATCTCAGTAAATTGACAAAACCTCGCATTGAGGTCGCCATGGCTTCTTTCAACGTATGTCTCGCATACGAACAAACTGTTGCCCGACAAGTTCCAATCCGTTACTTATGAGATCAACATCCTCGGATATTTTGATTACTTTCGGCTTAAAGAACTCGGAATTCGTGTCGCACGCTTGAATATACTCGGATAACACGAACTGATCTTCGATAAGTATAGGGGGTTGATTTTGATTCTGTGGTTGTCGGCTGCGCGTCCGTGGTACTTGGTCAGCGGGTTCCAACATATTAGAGTGCTTCTTACGTTGATGTTGTAACAACTTTGCCTATGAAAACAAATTAATTTTTTCTTCAAGTTTTTACAATATATCCAGCTACAAGTCGATTATTTGATTTAGTACTCACTTTACTAGCATACTGTTTGTGACACCACTGACAACCCTGAGGTGTAGTTGTAACACTACCAACTGTTTGACTAAACGTTGGATTTGGTAGATCAGAATAATCGGACTCCTTTTGCCTATTACTCGGTGGTAAAGCAGCTCCCGGATGGTTTTTCATGATATGTGCTTTCCGTTTACTGCTGCTTTTATAGACCTTTAGAATAATATAAAGATATAATTTAAGTATAAGCTGACTTACGTCATTAATAGATCGTATCGAACCTTGTCACAATATTGACAGTAATAGTCTCTTGTTTGGCGTAAGATAGGCAAGTTCAATTCTGGAACAGATTCTGGTGCAACATCAGGATGACGTTTTGCCAAATGATTAACAAGCATTCCCCTTCGTTTAAAGCCCACCAGGCATTGATGACATTTATAAATGAAGCGATTGTAATCATTAGGGTTTACCTGTTCATATTATATAATACATAACTGTATTATTGAATATTCCATTAAATGCTACATATAACAATAGCACAAGAATACCTTCGGAACAAATTTCTTTGTCTGTGTAACTTGCGACATTTGTTCTTCGGTAGCTGTTTGTGAATTATGCAACTTCGTCATGTGTTCCTTTAATTTATCTTTTCTTTTAAATTGTTTTCCACAATTGGCACAATGAAATTCTCTGTAAAAAATATTATATAATGTGTGTAATATTTATTTTTGTATAGCATATTGAATTCAGTGTACCTATGATCAGAATGTTTCAGCAGATGCATTTGTAATTTGTCAACTGTAGCGAAGCGTTTTGTACAGACTTGACATTTGTGTTTTCTTTCGCAATGATGCGCTCTAATGTGCTTGCGAATAACGGAATATTTCATAAATATTCTTTGGCAGTAGGGACAGCTGAAAGTATCGTCTTCTTTCTTATGAGTTTCAATATGATCTTTCAATGTGATGCTCTGACTAAATAGTTCTCGGCACATTGGACATTCAAACACTTGTTTATTTTCTGAATAAGAATAAAACGGATATACGTAAAGATTTGAAAGTTTTTCTATGCTAAATATTATTCAATACAAGTACGATTTACCTCTGTGTGTTTTTAAATGACAAGACAGGGCTGAATTATTCATAAATCTTTTGAAACAAATGTTGCATGGCAGTGGTTTTTGGTCTTCAGCACCATGCACCAAACAGTGCTGTTGTAACCGTACTTTTGTAGCAAAACGTTTATAGCACATCGAACACTTATATGTAGACAAAGGAGTCAATCTGTTTTTTTTTTTAAAAGTAAATCTACCGTGTTGTGAGACATGATTAACTAATTCTTTCTGTTTCTGAAAGCGCAGTCCACACTGTGGACAAATAGTGTTCGAAATCTTCGTTTTTATTTTATCAGTACCATGAACAAGAGTGTGTAAATTAAGCAGCAATGGCTTTCTAAAAATTAAACTGCAAACGGAACATTTCCATTCCTTCGAATTATTTTGTCTCGAATTTTCCTTTTCTTTTAAATTTATACCGTGAAAGACTTTCATGCGACGAGACTGATTATCTTCTAATCGTGTCCGGGAAAATAATTGATTTTTTGATTCTGTAATTAGAAGTTAAATGGATAACGATTACACCTAAATGATTATTTACATAACTAATTATTATGTACCTTTATCACCCTTAGTTTCTTGCACAGGTTTCAGTACTATTAAGTTCCTACGAACTGCATAATCAGTGCTAGGACCAGCCTTTAATTCTTCCATTGGCACAATATGCCTTGTTGTAAGAAATACTATTCCATCGCGTTGTTGGCAAATTACTACATTTTGTTCTTCATACGTCAATGCAGGTCTGACGAAACGCATCCAATTTGAAGTATCTGCAATGCGAATAAGATATTATAAATTAACATTTGAGTTGTTAATAATTACTTCTAAAAGTGTGGACACGTACTTTCATTTGAAACGTCTACTTTTAAAAATTGCTCGTTTTCGGCTTCGTAGAGTAGTGGCAATTCATTTTTAAATGGAGAACCATCATAAGGGTACAAAATGCCCTCTATTGGACCAAATTGAGTACGTTTTTGTATATAGCGTTTTGCAAATACTCCATAATCGGATCCACCTAATATGATTTCGGATTCAGACAATTTATTTATGGATAGATACGACCCTGGCAGTGTAGCTATAGCACGTGATGGTACAGGTTGATCTGCTATTGTGCATACATTATGTGATGTACAATTATCTCCAGTACAGACATCATCACCTTCGTCACAACCTACAAACAAAAATAAGCTTAGAATTGTATTAAGAAAATTATAAATCTAATGATGCAATTACATACAAGAATCTGTTTTATCGTTTATACGACGTTTGGAACGTCTAATATTCTGCTTTTCACTATCCTTCTGTACCTCCGTATTCACTAATATCTGATTAATCTCTTGTCCCTTTAGCTCAACCAAAGCGTTTGTTTCATTCTCTTTGTTTGAATTTTCTGCAGCAGATGATAAAGTAGCATCATCTACATCAATATTTTGAGTTTTAAACGAATTTATAACGTTTATCTGATCATCTTGCATAACAAGAAAATCTCTACTTAATGCAAAGTCTGTACTAGGAATTGCTGTAAGCATCAATGGAGTTGCTGATGATACTAATCCAGCATTAGTTTCTGTAAATATATTTCGCAATTACAATATAAACTGTGTTTTAATGATAGTATTCAATGAAATTTACCTTGCATCAGTTACCTAAGGAAGTGTGTTTTAAGAAGTGTGTGTTTTAAGGATATTGTTCAGTGAAATTTACCTTGCATCAGAATCAATTCACTACTAACACCAGGGACCAACTGTTCTTCATTCTCATTGGCAACAAAGTCAGGATTATTATCTGTCTGTTGTACACTCTGTGCATCTATTGGATGCGTCAACTGAGAAACATAGTTAACAGATGTTCTTTCATTTGACTCGGGGGGGGATATTAAAGGAGAAGATGGACCTTGTAAAACAACAACAGCATTATGAAAAGGAGATGGTGGAAGTTGTACAGGAGTAGGTGAATACCTAGCAGCTGAACTCATATTTGGGTCAAGAGGACTAACACGGTGTTCAAAGTCAGAAAGTGGAGAAGAAGCTCTGGGGGAAAAGGAAACTTGTTCGTATGTTGGGAACAGTCTAGGATATTCTCGAGTCTGATCTTCCACGTACTCCACCTAATAAACAAATAAATTCAATTGTTGTTAGTTAAGAAAAGGAATTGGTAGAAACACAATTGTATGGAGTTTACTTACAGTTAAAAATAATAATTTGTTATTCATTTTTTTAGGCTGTTCACACATTGATGAATGGAGTGAATGATCAGCAGGCCAATTCACTGAAGTGTCAGACACTTTATCAATGTTTAGAATTTCAAAGGAATGAACAGGGGCCCCCTCAGGAGGGCCCCTTGGATCCATTTTAGTTCTCGTTTTGTACCACGAATATTACAACGTCCTTTACCTGTTAAAATTGAACTTTGAGAATACAACTAAATAGTTCCGCTATTACAGAACGAATGGAGGCAAAGAAATTGATGTTCTTTAACCACAACGAATGCATTCGCGTGACTTCAGGACGACTGATAGGGTACGATAATACTTTCGATAATTTCGAAATAAGCATACAATGGTTTAATCTTTGTGTCCTAGAAAGAGGAAGACTTACCATCCTCAATTCATTAGTTCTCGAAGTCGATGCACTTTTTGTCCTGTGATGCACCTGCTGCAGCACACTGGTTCGTCAACAATTAACGTTATCAGTTTCATAATGTTGACGGAGCACCACTGCAATGGCGGGAAAGTTTCGAATTGTCGAATGAAATTTTGCCGAGAAATTTCGGAGTAAATTACATTTTTTTGCAGAATCATAGCGATTTGCAATAAATTTCATTTTTTACGAAATCCAAATACCTAGGCACTAGTATCCAGTTGGCAAGTTTATATTTTCTTGCGTCCTATTAAAATATTTATTGGTTTATATATAATTGATTTGAATACTCAAGTATTTATAATATAAACTATAATGTAATTGGTATATTTTTTCGTTTCATATATACACAGCTACTAGTATAAGAGTACGAAAATTCTTTCAGGACGAAACAAGTCGATAGCGTTCTGGCGCCCCATACTACTTATTTCTACCCCCTGATTTATGAATGGGGTTGGGGTGGTTCAATTGCGTGTACAGGGGTACCTTTCATAACTTTCCTTAACAACGAAACAACAACGCGTCAACAAGAGACTTGTATTGTGTTTCGATATATTAGCCGATACATTTAGTACCATCATTGCGTATTTTATTAAAATATAAAACAGTCATGATACGCGTAAACGAAGTGACCGATCTGATGGATCAAATGTTGAAAGTAGATATTTTCCACCCTACGGAAAAACTTCGAATGCTAAGGGACGAAGAGAAAACGTTTCTTGATCCAAACTTAATTATGGATGCAAGACATCGAATACATAGGGAGAATTTATCCATTTCACCCACGAAACGTTCTGTTCTGACGGAAGCCAAGAGGTACGATGTGCTTTTCAAAAAGGAAAGAAAGTAATTCCTGCTTAAAAATGTACACTTCGCAGATTATTTACACAGGAGGAGGAGGCGCAATTGTATTTGAAGAAGCAGCAACGATATTTGGAACGTGAATTGAGGAGGTTTGAAACGGAACTGAAAAAATCACGGCCTAGGTTTTATAAACCGTACACGTGCAAAAGAAGAAGCTTTGCGCCATCGGATGACGAAGATTTCTGGGGAACATTTAGAAAAACTAAACGCAATGTTGGTTCAAATGTCACGTAATTAAGGAAGAAACCCATTACCATAATTTAAAATATACAAAATCTTTTACAGACTACTTCTAAGGAGAACGCGGAGAGAAGTTGTGGCTTTGAAAGAAGAAAGAGGTAGAATGCGAGGTACCATGCGTCGGAAGTATCAAAGTAACGATCAAGGACAAGTCTAATTCTGAAACAGAGATGCAGAGTTTGTATATTTTAAGGAAGTGTTTCGACGCTCTGAAAGATAATGCTGAGGAAGAGCAACGTCTTCGAGACATCAAGACGAAGATCCAACAAAATGTGACTATGAGGCTAACGAAGAAGTACTTTGATATTTGGAGAACGTGTATAAAAAGCAAAACGGTTAATACGCGAAAACAGGAGGATACAGAGATTTCTGATGAACGGAAGATCGAAATGTTTATAAGCGCGATTACAGATCGTCAAAAGGAATTGATGAAATGTCGGAAACCAAAGGCCAGAGATGGTATTGTGGTCGCAAAAGATACCAACAAAACGGAAATGATAAGGAAAAATGTTTATTCTCAATCCGTTATTGTCGAATCGCCCGCGCAGAGTCGATTAAACGCTCAAAAGCGTATAATAGAGGAACAGAGAGCCAAATTGGCAGAACAGAAGAGAATCATCGATGAACTGAAACTGAAAGAGGCGCAAAAGGAAATTTACAAAGCGGGTAAAGACACGGTAGACATAGCCAAAGAAACGCTGACCTACTGTGGGAAAAAAACGAGGAGAACTTTAGTTCAATTAATGCAACAAGCTGGTTACAGGTAATATAAGTATACAAAACAACTAACGAGTTATGTGATTACTCACAGGTAAGTATAATTGATTCTGTATCTTTTCTGAAAAGAGATGAAAGTTTAACGGTACCCCACCGAGCACCGGATCCACCAAAATTTTTATCAAGGATGGAAGCTCGAGCAGAGGCCAGGCGAGAAAGGGTAAGACTAGCGGAAGAATTGCGCAGAAAGAAATTAGAGGAACAGAAACAGGAAGAAGAAGCTGCGAGAATAGAGGAGGAACAGAAGAAGAGGAGATTACAACAAGAGGTCAGATAATATATGGGGTCAAACTATATTAATGTCATACTAAGTGTCACAAGCATTAATTTCACCTCGCAAGCTCCCTTATCTCTTCGACAATACATTTTTATTATATGATCGTACGCGATGTAATGAATTTTTTACTCATTTATTAACAGGCCGTAGCCGAGGCGAGAAGACTGCGCAAAGAACAGGAACAGAACCGACTTCGTGAAATAGAAAGATTTAAGAAACTGAACCATATAGCAGATAAATTTTATCGGAAATACCTGCTGCGACATTATTTAATGGAGCCATTAATTGCTCTTATCGAAGAAAAAAAAAGTAATGTTAAAAAGGCAGATAATCAGTACAGAAAAAGCTTGACAAGAAAAATATTTATAATGTGGAAACAAGAGACTAAGACTCAATATGAAGTTAAGGTTGAGATTGCCGAATCTTTTCATAATAGAAATTTAATGGTGAGAGCTTTTAGGGAATGGAAGCTGATGGCTAATGAGGTGAATTTGAGCTATCAAGTAGCCACTGATTTCTCTGATATGAAGCTGTTAGATAAATACTTTAGATTATGGCAAACAATAACTTTAGAACTTAAAGCTGAATGTAAAAGAAAGGAAAAATTAGTTACCTGTCACTATGTAAATAAGTTAAAGTTTAGATACTTTTTTATGTGGAGAAAGTATCTCACAATTGCAGCAGATGTTATAGAAAGCGAAAAACGGAAAAATGAATTGAGGCAATTGGTGCAAACAGTGATTCCTGACTTCGATCCCAAACAGAGAGGTGTAGCATTGGAAGATTAAAGTTATTTTCTATTAATGAAAATAAAATATGAAGACTGTATTATAATGTTACCAAAATTATGGATACGTGAACTATTTTATATTATTTTGCATGAAAAAATGCGGACACTTATCACATGTAATTTCTTTATGTTTAGACCGTAGATGTACTATACACGATTGATTAATATAATTTATTGCATTAATCGTACAATGGCCACTTTATCACAGTTACAATAAATATATAAATAATGTGCACAGTAGTGAAATGAAAGTAACCAGTACATTAACTAAAATCAGCATTATTGCATTGTGAAATGTTATTATGGAGTTCAGTATCATGAGCAACAGTTCAAGTATAAATTATCTTACTATTGTAAAAAAAAAACAAGAGTAAGTAAAAAGTATATTAATAAAGAAAGGTGTGCTTGAACTAATATTGAAGTCTACATTATGACTCACATACCGCTATGCCTGATGTTTTGACCTCATTGTTTAAGATTTTTTAATGCCCTCTGCACAATGAAAACTATAGTCTCCCATATAAATTAAATTTAATAATCTAGTCTATATTTAATATCTAAGTTTTGCAGCAAAACAATCGAGATACAATCTTTAATATTCCATTGTCATATTGGCTTCCAGCTTCAAGAAGACGTCGTTCATTTGATGTTGTACCAATGTATATTAACCAAAGATGATATATTAAGTAGAAAAGTACCACTATACCAACAAGCAGGCTGTAGAGTGCCGAGATGAAGCAGAGGGCAATGCTGGAACAATATGTACATTATTAAATATCAATTGGGTACTTGAAGCAAACAGTTGCGCGACACGTTATCTATTCAACTTTTATATTGTCAGAAAGCAAATAAGAGATATTACAATATTTACGACGTTAACAGAAGTCTCCACAATTATCACTATCTTCTGATTATTAAAGTTTACATTGTAGATCCTCAGTATCTTTCCAGTTTAGTTCTGAGGATCTTAATAATGAGAAGTGTTGTGCTTGCCCCAAGTACAACTTTACACCACTAATTGTAATTAATTTCAGTAGATTATATATTCTTTATTAATTGCAGTCCCTCAATGGAAAATATAACTGAAATAATACATACTCCAATTGATGATATACATCACTGCAGTCATCTGGCAAAAGGACAGTACCAATAAGTATAAATGGATGGCAGACACTAGTCATAGTTAAATTGGAACCATAGATAAAAGCTATGGCTGAAAAAAACAAGCATCCTAGATACCATCTTAAATTGCTGGAACCTATACAACAATCCAACCTACAATATAAAATAGAAACTGTATCACTACATAAGATAAAGATCATTTTCTATATAAACTAAGAATATACCATTTACAATGATATTCTCTATTCAGAATACATGTCTGACACATTCGACAATGATGAGCTTTTGGAGGTGCTCTTCTCCTACACGTAATGCATAGCTCTCCACTTCCTTCACCAAGTTCTAAACCTTGGGTCAAGGTACTTTCTTGAGTAGCAGAGTCTGCATTTAGTCTACTCTTATAACCACACAATATACCTCCCACCACACAAATTATAAACACTAAATTCTCTTCTGGTAAGATTTCTAATAATGGTACGACACTCATTTCAAAGATCAGCATCAACATAATAACACTGGTGATTGTCCACATTAGAAAAAATTTCGTACGCAGTAGAAACCTCAGGAAATTGTGATATAAATAATATACCAGCAACGGAGTAGCAACGAATATGATTACAGTACATAGAACTGTTTGTGCGGCTATGACCGCCAATGTTGGAACTGCAAAAATCGGTATTATAGCATCGACTGAGATTTGTTTAGCACCGGATCTCCAACCACAAGGGTTCCGCAGTCTCTCCCAAACAGTCATCTTTCAACGATAATTATCGAACGTATACGTTTACACTTTCATGGAGAATTGTATTGTGTATATACAGGAAACAACACACAGTTTGCAGAGGTTAAAAATGCTTCATGGAATCTCGTTGTATCTTGTATGAGCTATCATAAATTTTTGTCTAATGATTCTCAAAAGTATCCCTCGAAGGAGCAGGTGGCAGCACCATTTAAACTACTTAAATATAATTTAATAAATGATTAGAAAATTCCGAGTAGGTACTCTATCAACGCTCACGAAGATGTTTTCTTTCGTCAACGAGCCATTGTTTCGATAAAAAATCAATACTCTTCTTTCGAGTGGAATCTTCTCCAGTTGACATTTATAAACAACGGATCGGCTTGTTTCGGGACAAAATCAGGATTGCGCACATATTTTCACAATTTAATTATCTACATTCTGTGACACAGTACATACTTTACTTTCGACGAAAAATCTCACGAAAAAGAGTGCAACTGACAGTGCTTTGAAAGTGGCGCAAAAATCGCAAGGGAGAGTGAGAATAACAGTTCCAGTTTCTAGTGCCCAATCACGATCACCGTACGTGCTCCGTACAGTACGAAAAGAACAATGGTGTCGGTGTTGTTATTACGATTATCAAATATCGTACCGGATTGTTACTAATTGTTACACCGAATTCCGTTCCAACGACATATCTCAGGTAACGAATATTTCACGAGCAAACAAGCTGGTCGCATTTATTTGAAAGACATTGTCAACTTGTTCTACCTCTTCGTTCCTTCTCCCGTGTGACATTCCCGTAATCTTTCGTCGCGCATGAAACCATAAACGCAATACCAGTGGCGGGAATTATGACGCACTTGAAAACACGTTCAGTTTCATTCCAGAAGAAGGAGTTTTAACATAGAAGAAAAGAATTTCCGAGTATCTTAATAATCAAAAGTGTACCAAAAGGATTGAAGGTTAACTATTATCTTAGCTGACTGTTTGTTACAGGGTATATATCGTTCTTCATCAAATTATGGAAAATTAGAAAACGTTCCGGGGTGAACTTATACGCTAATTTATACGCGGCAGGTAGAAGTGATTCTCGATCAAATTGATCAATCGGTTACTGAATTGATGGAAGTCGAAAAGGATATTTGAAAGTAATCTTTAATAGTTCTTTAGTCGAAAGAAATATAAAAGTCAAAGCTAAGATAATGCTAGTGTAATCTCTTGCGTTGATAAACAAAAAATTGAACGAAGTGTAATGTCGATAATGATACCGGAAAGTCAGAGATCTTGATTACCGGATATTCGATTATCAATCGATAAATCGATCGAGCGATTACTATCTGTTTATACAAACAACAGAATACATTACGATTGTCTTTTATTTAGTTTCTCTAAAATAGAGTTACTATAATACTTGGAATTCTATAAATGAAATTGATTAAACGCATCACGCTATGTTAAATATTTATATACGTATGAATATTTAAACGAATATTATTGTACATTACCGTTAATGATTGTATTAGATGATCAACGAAAAATCTGCTTTTTAGAATCACGCCCGATAGATGAGTGGTTACTTCAGAAAAATCAGGCAAACACTTTTTTTTGCGATCTTCTTTATCTCCCTCGTGTCGAGGATCACACGTTACAGTCTACTTCTTTCTTTTATGAACACGAGAAACAACGGGACGAATAGCGATCGGTTTTTCGCGAAGCCGAAGACGCGGATGAACACCATTATCGCACATTGTCGTGCCGAGGCTAATTAAAGAACGACGGGGTAGAACTCCATTAAGATAATCACGCGGCACAATAACGAGCGAACTGTGCAAGTTAAAGATTGATCGACAATTACGACCGCACGTCTGCTGCCTAGCTGAAACTGAATGTTTTCAATTGTTTGCACGTGTTCATGCCGTTATCGTTGTTTGCCAGATTCGGTCGGGACGGTTGGTCGTGGAAGGGAGGGGGAGGGGGGGCAGCATGGTACAAATAACCGATAAGTATAATGCTCTCCTACGGTGAAAATGCATTGTCGTTCACGGCACAGATTTCCAATGTGCACACAGTGTTCAGAAAATACACGAGACACGTCCCGGAATAAGATGGTGCTTATTTTGAAAAATAATAAAAGAATGAGAGAAGAAAGGATTAAGCAATATATACGTTACTGTTCGTGTCAATTTTTTTTTTAAAAGCATCATTCTACCAATTGAACGAAAGAACCACGTACTATTTCAGGACACCATATGTATATGTATATTGTACATACAGTTTCGTTAAGATATCAGCATAAATATCGTAACGCCGTTTTCTCTCGTTATGAAATCCTCTAGAATCGGAATTATACAATAGTTAGAGCGTTAGTTACTCTTTTTACGTTTGATAGGCAGATAATAGTAAACACGGGTCAACGAGTTTAACGGTCACTATTGCGCGGTGGTCTATGTGACCGGGTACACGAGTGAACGACTGACTAATTGCATACCTGTTGGGACACCCCCTGTTCCGGGGGTCATTCCGTTTGCATCGAGCGTCGCGGGAGGGGTATATGTATGTATACATTATTCTGTTTACCGGCGTCGTCTACGTTTCATAGGATTCGCGTACCCTCCTTTCTTCTTAATAAGGGTGGGCGTTCGGGGTGTGTGAATCATAAGTTTTCGTCCAGGAAAGAAGCCGATTGGAGGCTCTCTTTGACCTACGAGGGGCTCGTCCCTCCAGCCTCCCCCTTCTTCGCATAGTGTCGTGTAGACAGTTAGTACGGGGGCAGTACGGGGATCCCAATGTGGAGACTCATCGGAGATCAGCCGGCAAAGTAGCCTTGTAGTCGTTCGTCAACGTTTCCGATCGTATCACGACGCGCTCTCGCTTCCCAAGAATTCATTTTGTAGCCTAGCGATGTACACGGCTAGCGGTCGAATAGTTTCAAGTTTCGCTAATGTATACACCCGTGGATTTCATAGCGACAGAGTTTGAAAAAAATCGGATAGTCAATTCATAGGACGGGACCCTGTTTGTAAAGTGTAACACCGTGAACTCTTCTAGTACGTTGCGTGACTTTTATTCGGGGGCAGTAATTGCGTCCTGTCGGAAAAGTTCCTTCGTGTTTGTCCGCCAACGGTATCTTCGGTTCGGTAGCAAAAGTTGCGAGGAGCGCAGGATCAATGACCACCGTGGCTCCCCGTCATAGTAAAAAGTCGAAATAGAAGGGAACTCGTAAATCATTATTGCTTGACCGGAATGATAACTGATCACTCGAAGAGGTCGTGATCCCCCGGTGGTGATGGTCGGAACGTGCATTAACCGTTTTTTTCGACCGTTCGCCGAGAACGATGATACGGTAATAGTAGTACTCGAGGGGCATTGACAGTAGTTGTCCTTCAGGGAGATCGATTCATACGTCGGGGATCCTGGTAGAGTGAGATCTCGAGTATATAGTTCGACGATCTTTGGTTTCGTTCGGACGTCTGAGAAGTATAAGAAAGAATCGTCGCACGGTCCAAGACGAAGCGATAAAGAGAGGCAGGCGTCGTGAGAGTAAGACGGTTGATAACGAGTTGCTGGTTAGACTCTGGTATTCTGACACTGTCCTGGCTGACGGCAATCAACAAATTGTGTCACCATGTTCCCAGTGGTGTATCGTTAGAGCCACGATGTTAGTGGCGACGGAGGCATTCAGGAGCTTATGAGTCCGGGGTTACTGCTCTCTATCCCTGTGGGCTGTGCTTCGTGGGTCGAGAAGCTTTCAGGCTTCCCGCGGAAGGCTGGAAACTGGTCTGCCCGTGGACTCGTGGGGATGTTATGTAAGCTGTAGTTGATCAGGCAGAAACGCATACACGCGCGAACATGTCGTGTAGTCAAAGCCGCGGAGATCTGACCGGAGGATACTCGCCGTCAGTGGCTGGAATCGCGTAAACGCGTGTGCTGAACGCGACCATTTCGAACGATTAAATGCTCGTGAACACGGGGAATCCGATCGAACGAAACGCCGTATAAAGTGAACGATCATTTCAGGTGATCGAGTTACGTGCGCCAGCAGTGATCCTCGAAGGCTGCTTGAGGACACCTTGTACCCTTGGTTCAGTTTCGACGAGCTTCTGAGCTATGAAGAGGATACGCGACTGAAGACCGAGGACAGGGAGGAAGACGACGAGAAGGAGTACGAGGAACGTCTAGGAATGTCTTCAGCTTCGACCAACAAGCTGCAAATTTTGTGGGATTATTTCATTCATGCGGAGCCTCAGAGTTACGAGGTATATAATCAATCTTGAATTTAGGATGTCAAGGGTGATCCTTTTCTTTTCGCATCGTTTCTACTGTTCACTTTTCGAACACGGTCTTCGTAAGAACGATTGTCTCGTTTTAGGAACGAAGGTTTTTTTTGTTAGAGACGATTGCTTTATCGAAGACGAGTAAAGGAAATCCTTTTCAGTTTGATCAACGTCAAGCAACATTCACCTTGATGCACTGTCCTTTCTCTTTCGAGTTCTATTAGCAGCGTCTATTCGCGAGAATCTCCAACGATAAGCATTCTTATTTAAATGCATTCTTGATTAACGTGTCTTCTGCGACGTTCCACTATGCAAGATTTCGTAATCATCGACAATGATCGTTCCCCACGGTTAAACACCACCTTAGCTCCGTATCGGGATGACATACAAGTTACCCGGAGCTGGCATGTCAATACTTCGCCCACAGGTAGCGAAATAACGCGTGATCTCCCGGTATTGTATAACGTAAACACTATCGATTTCTTCGGGCGCGATTGTTGAAATAACAGTGGAGAAGATTCGCAACCGATCGAATTGATGGATGTTCCTTTTAGCAAGATAACTGTCTCGTATCAATGAAAAATCTTGGTTAACGATTATGCCACTCAGCTGTAATGTTTCTAAATTAAAAAAAAAACGTTATCACCACGAACGTGGTTTCTTCTTCGTGCACGAATGTAATTGTTATCCGTCAAAATTGACACAAAGCTCCCGCAATCTACGATCGACAAGATGTTCTAATGGGGGTCTTTCCGTTGTGAATCATGTATTTACGCTTCGAACAAACGCGATACGCCGCTTATTGGTGCACAAAATTTCCTTTTCACGCTTCCAAAGGGTTAAATTACAAGCGTTTAATTAATAATAATAAACAGGATCGCACATGCCACGGGAATTTATAGAGCGAAATCACATTTTAGAAACCTTAATCACCGTGTTTTCGGTCGCGAAATTTATCGTGTCGATTATTTTATCGGCAACGCGTACAATAATCGTCATGCATTTCGAAAATGGAAGAAAGCCATATCTTTCTTCAGTACCCTATATCTACTATTTCCTCGTCTGGTTCGTATCTCTGTCGTAACGAGTTGTTTTCTTGCTACCGTATCGAATCTGGTGCGCATGCTGTCGTCGAAAAAAACGAGTGAAATTATTTATATTTATATAGACTATGCTAATTAGTTGTTCGTTAGCGTTATCGAGCTCTGGGTATGAACTTTCGATTATCAGAATTTCGATTTCGACTGGCCAGTGATTCGAGCGAATCCTCGTACGAATTACCGTATCCTTTTTTCGTTACAGAAGTCATCCTGGCTGGACGTATTCCTCGCCGAGCTTCTTGCTCAAGTAAGAGAAGGCCGGGACGTGAAAGATGCCCTATCGTTTTGGTAAGATTGGATAGAGTACCTACTCGATTCGATTTAGATAGTGCGTCTCCCGGTGACAGATTTCTCACGATTAATTCTTGCAACGAAAAAAATAAAATCAAGGCTCGAAATATACTTCGCGAACGTAATTCAACCACAATCACGACGTATCGTGCTCTGAGAAAGTAGAAAAGGAATCAGCAACGTGGTGATTTTTACGATACGTCACGGCGATCACTGACCGCAGAATGATAATACGATCTCGTGTTTGCGGTCTCGATGCTGAATGCAAGTTTTTACGTTCGACTGTTAGTTTCCACTCTTCCTACTTTGCCGTCGTCACTTTCTCACGTTTGCACTCGCCATAGACTTCATATTTTCGTCTAAATATTATAGGGTAGAGAGTTCGATAATTTCGTGTCTACTCGTGTCGGGTCATGAGTATATGTATCACCATTCGGCGTACAATCAACTTTCGTCACAGAACTTGTATTCCATTTCACGTACAAATCTTCCTTCGAAGATATCACGTCCACCACTGGAAATAAGATTGCATACAGCGCGGACGTTCGAACAATAGTTTGTATCCGGGACGATAATATAACGATAAGAGCACCTTGCCCGATGGATAAGATTACAGATATAAAAAGACGTAGTATGGAATTATCCATTTCAGTTTGGTCGCCGGTGGCAGAGTTTCTACCCTTATAGCTTGCGAGCTGCTCTCTGATGTACACGAGCTCTGCGCGAAGAGGCTCGACGGGGACGAGCTTATCGGATTGAGGAAGTATTTGGCTCAAGATCGCGGCTGGCGTTGCCTGGCGGTTCTGCAATTGCTGGGCGTACGTGGTATATCTTGTGCGCGCGAGCTGGTCGCTCTGTTGGTGGCTCTCTATCCGGTCGCCCTTCAAGAGGAGGTGAAGAAGGTCGATTTCGCAGGTTCGAACGGTTCCGGGCGTACTTCCGCGTTCGTCGGGCCGGCGCGCAATCCGTATGTAAAATTCCACTGTAACGACGACACCGTCGACACGGTAGATATCGTGCCGCACGCGAAGCGCAAGGCGACAAAGTCTAGCCGAAACGGTGTTTCCTACGAGGGCAATGCTTCGACGAGAAGAAGAACGGGTCGTAGACATAGTATCGGTGCCAAGATGCCGATCCACCATAAGCAAAGATCGTTCGGTATGTTCGAAACGCGGCGTACCACGCCGGAAACCGCGAGCAGCGAGTCCGAATTGCTGACAGACGGTATAGATCAGGCACGGTCGCTCACACTGAAGATCCGCCTGAACCCGATGGATTTCGAATACTTCACGTCCGTTGTTAGAAGCGACGAGGAACAAAAATGGCAAACGGCGCTCTATGAGCTACCAACACGACCGTCGAAAAAAACGCCGAGGGATTACATAGACGAGAGGATCAAGAACGTTCTGGACGCAAGGATCAGCAACTTCGAAACTAGTCTGTTAATTATCCAGCTACTCCAGGGACTGCGGGATTACGATACGCCGGCCGAGCAGACTCCGGCCGTGCAAGTTTTGAAATTCGCCTTGGACACATTATGGTCTCTTCAGTTTGGCATAGACGGTGCCGGCTTGAGCGGAACGGAATGCGCCACGTTAAAGGCAGCGGCCGCTAGGCTGATGCTCACAGCGTTGGAACGCGTACTGAGAGCGGACGAGCCGACCACTGCGGTCATTCACAATGGTTTACTACCCATGACTCTAAGATTACTCGAAGATGCTTGCAGCAAACCGGTGAACGTGTTCTCGCCGGAGGAGGGCTCGCTGCTACAAGAGTTCATCTTCGCAACCATTTACGGCATCGTGACGTTCCTTTATTGTTTGCTACATCAACAGGGTGCCGCTATAGAGAAGCTGTCCGATTTTCTGGAGTTGTTTCAGCTGTTCACCGACAGCCAGGATGGTAAGCTCGTCGAAAGAACCATCCTCGCTATTGTTGATCTGCCGAGCGTCGATCCAACGAGGTCGGTTATCCGCGCCAGAAAAGTCATCGATATGATAGGTGCGTTAACCAGCGGCCTAAAGTCCGTGCGACGTGATATTTCGCACGCGGCCAACTGCAACCGAACGAAACACAAATCCTGCATCAATAACATTCAGACGCATCATCACTCCGACGTATTTGGGACAGCGTACGCTCAACCGATCGTCGGTGCCGTTATGAAACAGGCATGCTGTATTTCCTCTCTGTTCGTGACGCTCACTAATCTCCTGAAAGAGTCTCATCCTTTTACCAGCGAGCTGCAAGTCCGACTGATCAAAGTCTCCACGGCGGCGGGCACCTGTTGCTGTTGCCCGCCCAGGATACTCATGTTCAACGTCGTGTCTCTTTTGAAGAGACACGATCCGGCCACTTACGCCCCAGCCGTGGCACTTCTCGAGCGTATCTTCTTCAAGGAACTCGGTGCTCACTCGGAATTAGACCTATGCACCACCTGCGACAGGCCTACGACATATTCATGGGACTTTCTCGAGATGTACGCTGAATTACTAACTCCCGACGAACCGAAACTGTGTTACGCTGTAATGGCGCACCTTCTGAAGATAGGGCCTAACTCTAGATACCAAGTTCGACGGGAACTGTTGCTGAAAGTGTTCTACCCCACCTTCCTGAATGCTAAAACTTACTACGCCTCCGACAGGAGTAACGCGACTGCTAAGTTTCTCATTCAGGCCTGTCTATCCGTGATATCCTGTTTAATCGTGAACACCCAGATATGCGAGGGGTTCACGGAAATAAACGGTTTGGAAGAGGCGTTGACCTTACTATCGGACGCCACTTTCACGAGAACCGTGTACGCTCTTCTAGAAGTCACAGTTATCATCGAGATTTGGAGGTCGTGTCCCGCGGAATCTGATTCCGAGAGTGGCGAGAAACCCGCGTCGAAATCTTTATTCGACTCCCTCGAAAAAGAAACGACAGAATTATTGCACAATCTGGAAAATCCAGGGCAAATCGATGAAATGCAACAGACATTCCAGCGAGAAAACAACGATCAAATTGTCGAGCAAACAATAAATACCAGTACCGAAAATGATTCTCAAATGGAAAGTGGCGAAACGGATAGTTCTGTCAGTGCGATTTCATATTTTCCGGAAGTATTCGATCATCTTGAAGCTACAGCAACATACGCAGAAGCTGATACCGATGCGGATACAAATAAGAAACTGAATCTGTATCAAGCGAGCGCCGCGTGGAGAGCCGCGGCCGGTGTAGCTCTGAGCAGTCCGAAATTCCGAATGGAATTGTCGCTACACTCTATATCGGAGAAATCCCTGAGGCTTTTCAAAACGTTGGCTATACGTATTTCCACGGGCAGTATTATAGGTACGTTTCTAAAACTGTTCAGATCAGATTGAATGTCGGATATAAAAATATCTGGATTTATATTAACATATTTGTCCCTGCTTTTAGATACCAATAAATCAGCGCACAGACTCTTCGAGGCTTTACTCACGTGCTGCTTGACGTCTCCGTTGTGTAAGTACTTTTATATAACGAACGCGTGAATCACAAGCATTTGGAGTACGTTTCTGTTCTACGTGCTACCGGATCGCGCGCAGCTGCGGATTATAATCCCAATAAGCTCAGAGAAATCGTTCGCCGTGAAAATAGTTCACAGAACGTGCAGCACCGGTAAACATCTCGAAGCTATCAAACGTCAATCGAGCTTACCCTTTTCCTAGAATCGTAGTACAGAGTAATTTTCACTAATGGCACGTTCGAACGCTCTATTGTTTTTACGAGTAATACATATATAAAATGACGTGCGGCGCAGGTGACTGCGATGTAGTCATGGAGCTGAGAAGAGCACTGATGGAGATCGGCGTCAAATTGGGTCGTGGATTGGCTGTGATCGTGGAGGCCCTATTGAAAGTCTCTATGCTGAAACCTACTCAAGAAGAAACTATACCACAGTACGCTCGGCCTAGGGTAAGTTCCTTCGTGTATTCCATATTGAACGATTTAGATAGCCGCTTGGCAACGACTTCGTCCGTTTAACTCTGATCATTTTTCGTTACAGCTACCGATCATGACGTTGGACGCTATGCCGGATTGTGCCGCGGACGACAGCAGCACAGGCGAATACGTGACTGCCGACGATGGATATGAAGCAGACATCGAAATACCAGGAAGAAGTCCTCACACAAACACCGTGAAGAGAAGCAACTCTTTGGGGCCGGTGGTCGAGCCCAGGGGCAATGCAAACGCACACCCAGCTTTGTGTTCCTTGGCGGTTGATCTCCTGATTCACTTCAGTGAGCAGTGAGTTTTTAAATGTTGTACAGATCCGTGATGATCGATAAGAGTTTCAATCAACGAATTTCTTCCTCAGAGGTTTGGACGCAGAAAGAGGAACTATCATAACTGCCGGCTTGAGAAAAGTTGCGGCTACCTGCAGAGAAAGTGCCTCGAGTTGTGCCACCCTAGCAGCTTCAGGAGTGATTACAAAACTATTAAATGGCTTCAGGGATATATTCACTAGCAGAGATCCTCAGTACCAAGGTTCTATTAACATGAAAAAATTATATTTATTTAATACCAAGACGATACTCGCATTGAATTTTCACAGCTCACCGTAATGTATTGTAATACCGTGTTTCAGATCTGCAACACGCTGTTCTAGAAGTGTTCACATTACTAGCGACGCAATCGATTTCATCGTCAGAATTAGTCACGTACTTGTCCCTGTTCAAAGTCGATGCACCTCCGCTTTTATCGCTACTTGAACCGCTTTTTCATCTCGTGCTAACTGCACGACCTCAACCGAATTTTATCCTGTCGTTCCCGATGCGTGCTGAAACGAAAGTAACGCCAAAAACACAATCGAAAGAGTACAAAAACGTTGAGAAGACGGAAAATCTAGTGAATAATTTTCGGACCAAACACCTCGCCTCAGGAATATGCAGTCCGTGGTCTGTCTACGCAGCGTGCTTACCAATTGGTCCTGAAATCGCTTGGCCAGTTTGGCTACACGGTTGCTCCGTTTCTATGTGGTTAAGAGTTGAAAGAGGATCACCTGCGTCTGGCAAAGGAACACTCATCAGTACGTCACCTTTACTTGACTCGGATAGTGAAAGTTTGTCCGATTGGGGCGTACTGTCCGATAACTGGAGTCGCGAAGGTGAGTAAAACACAATACCCTAACCGAACTAGCAGGTTTAGAATACGTGTTTACTTTAACGTATAACACAAATGCAGCAATAAGTGTTGTTTTTCGTTTAACGCATGCTCCTCAAATTATCGTGGAAAGATCAATCAATGTCTGATATTTTCTCCGGTACGTCAGTCATAGCAGGTTCGACGTCACCGCCTACGCCAACGTCGATTATACATTTGATGTCTGTCGGATTTGAGTCTCTGGTTCTCGAGACATGGTTGGATCTGCGATCAGGTGATTAACTACACTCGAACGTTACAATTAATCGCACATCATTTATTGACCGTGACGTAGTTACATCATCTTGATTTCGTCTTTTAGATAAATTAATCTTACGGTTAACACGGCCAAGCGACAAGACGAATCGAACGGTGTCCGAGACATCCATAACCGGTATGCTTCCTTCTGGCCGATGGCATCACTTAGCACTGAATTTTAAGGACACTATTCTAAACAAACGTAGCGCCGTGGTTGAAGTTGTCATTTGGGTAGACGGATGGAGAGAAATCAGTGCACAATTGCCGTTCGACGGTTTATTAGTGAGAAAACCTGGAACTACATGCGTTCTATTAGGACAAGTCGGTTCGAGTAGCATCGGTGCTTGGTATCTTGGCAACTTAATGGTATTTAGGTATGCATCTTTATTGCGTGGCGTTATGGTAACAATTGATTAACGTATTCTGCGTACCTATTGATAAACGAATTACTTTACAGGTGTCCGGTGTTTACGAAAGAAAGGGCTCTGTACCTAGCGAGTCTCGGACCTAATTATACTAATCTCGCGGAATGTGTTTTGAACACGGAGAAGCCAGATTTTGCACCGTTAATTGCATCTGGAGCATTGGACGGCGTTCGAGAAATACGATTCGGTAAGTATCATAATTTACTTATGCGTTATTTTTATCTTGGGATATTGAATAGCATCTATATTCAACGCACAGAAGGAGGAAAATTCGATACGAGTCGGAGGAAATCATACGGCGGAACGTACTTGAGACATGCCATCGAGACGAAAGTGTCCGACACGAAAATTGATTGGGACACTGTTATGGATGCTACGAATTCTCATCTGGGAGAATTACAGAATAATCTACTTCTAACTTACGAAGCACAGAATCCCAATACCGTGCATCTGTATCCTCAAGCTATCGCGAATCCTGCTGGTAAGTTTTCAAGTTAAAGCTAAAACATTGTCGATGTTTGGAGTCGTCAATTTTTACGTGTAAATATCGTATACTCGTTTCTAGCCGTGGTAAGAAATCTATTTCCGGGTCAACCAGGTTTTAGGGTTGTCTCTGCGCCAGAGCACAGAGTTTCGCAACAACCGCCTTTGTCTGTGGCTCCGATCCTGTCCGTTCAATTAGAATGTCAACAGTATAGGGGTCTGGTACCTGCAGCCACCTTAGTGGGCGGAGTGCCCATATTTCTGTATCTTTTTGCAAGAGTAAGCATGACCCCCCGTGTACATATATACATAGAATGCACAAGCGTTTGATCGGTAATAAACGGAATTTTATTGCACCGCAGGTAGTCGAATTGAATTCCACCGAGGAAGAACAAGCGTTAGCTCTCTCGATAGTTCTGCATTTAATACGAAATGATTCCGAATTGTTGAATGAATATCGATCAGAAGGTGGGACATCGTTAATTCTACGTGTTTTAGAATCGTCTCGATGCCACGCAGGTAGACATATTCTGAAAGCAATGTTAGACGCAGCTTGTGATAGTTCGATCCTAATAAAAGATATCGGTAGCGGCAATCATTTGGTGTCGCAAAATTGTGAAGCCGTCATCACGGATCCTGAATTAATCAAAGGCGCGCTGACCGCGTGGAGAACATGGGCTAAATATGACACATTGAACTTGCTATTGCAAGCGTTGCTATTGCTATTAAGAGATCAGCACTCGCAGCGCGAGTTTAATGCGTCTCAATTGAACAGAGTAGAAATCGTCGACACGATTTTGACGTTGTGCAAGGTAAATTTTGAACGATCTTTCATGTACCAAACCATTTCAAGTACAAAATACAGACGTCAGTTTTTTTTATATCTTAGGAGCATTTCTTGTACGAGGAATTGGGAGCTGCACTAAACTCTTCAACGGGAACGGCTGTTGTAGAGTTAATAAGAGCACTTATGGGCGCTCCTCCAGAATTTGCTCACCTGGTGGCTATCACTGATTTTCTAGTTCTCGTACATCAGGCATCGGAAACATACATCACACATTCTAGGCACAATATATACTTTCTGTTACCATCTCTTGGCGAAAAGAAATTAGTAAAAATCAACTCGACAGTAACCACCAGTTCCTCGGAAGAATCGATAGGAACCTTAGAGAACAGTAAATTGAACAAAGGTTTAACGAATGCACAGGTTGGTGTTTATTACAAAGAACTGTGATTAGAGTTGAAGAAACATAACATTATTTAAGTGTATGTCGTTTGACAGATACAAAAAAGTAAAATGCCAAAGAGAAAAGAACGTCGAAACGGTCCCCCTCAAGATACCAGTGCTGGAGAAGATTCTGGAATTGCGGCTAGCGATGGCTCTAATCCTCTTAGCAACGTAAGTAGAAAATGTTTACCTTCTCTTCCTATTACTATAATCACTCAGCATAATTTTATTATGCAGGAAAAGCAATCCACATGGACGGACGAAAGAAGAGCCTGCCAGGGCCTAGTTTGCGAAGGTCTCCTACTACTACTTCGGGATGCAGTCAGAGTGTTACCCGACAGTCAAGTTGGTTCGGTGTTAAAACATGTTTTAAGAGCTGAACTCTTGCTCGTGTTGGCAAACAATCCTGATGCTAGAGTTCGTACAGCGTTGATCAAGGTATTAGACGACTCATAAGAAAATAATACTCTCTGTAATCGCATCGATATATAACAGTGAACGTTGTATATAGGTCGTACAAACATATTTGCAACGCGCCAGCGATGAAGAAGTCAACAAATTTATCAAGCAAAAATACTTCATGCACTTAGCCAATCAGATAGCATTGTATCCTGGAAGCGAACCGCTCGTAGTGGCTCTGGAAAATCTAGCTTTAAGGGGACCAACAGTGGCTGCGATACCACCGTTAATGGCTATGATTGCGAAAGCGGCAGCCACTGAATCGAACATAGCCAGGCCAATAGTATCATTTATCACTGATATAACTGGGAAGGTAAATAGTTGCAGATGAATCTTTTAACTACTATTAAACGAAAACAAGAGAATGCATTAATTTTCATTTTAGAATCCCAACGCTTTGAGAATGCTTTTGGAACAAGGGCTGATCGAATCGCTGGCCCAAGCATTAGTCGGTGGAGCACACAAGGGTGGGTCTACATCCCTCTGCCGAGATATCCATGTCTTATTTTTGGCTATTGCTACGAAAATGTTAGAATCTCCAGGAAATCATCAAGTACAAGCTATTTTAGACCTACATCTGATACTGAATCACGTGGAATTAAAAGAGAAGGCTTATTGCACGAAGAATAGAACTTGCGTGTCAGTCGTGAGGGACGCACAAGTTGCCCTCTTCGATGGAGAACTCGACATACTCACGGCTAAAGTCTCGAATCAGTCGGGCTTCCGTTTACGAAGCACGGCGTCGTACCTAGCGTCAGCGTCTCATATAACTTCAGGTAACAATTGTATCAATGAAATATAAAAGATCTAAAACTATCGATTACTTTACAATCTTGTACGTTTCAGTTTTCACAACGTCTAGCGATCAAAGCGATCACGGCTCTCGATCGTCCAGTTTCACGAGTTTGCACGCACCAGCGATCGCAACGATGCGAGAGCCAGGCAAAGGGGAACTATTAGACCGATTCCGTATTATTCTAACCCGTGCCGTTGAATTCATAACAACCGCTGATGAATCGCCGACTGGAAACGAGTTACAATTGACCAAACGATTATTTTCGATTTTGTTACACGGTTTCTGTAATCCGCTCGAAAAGAAGAATCATTGGAGCAGTGGATGGTCGACCAGACACGCTCTAAGAAAGTACACGGCTAAGATAATGGTGTGGCTTCTTGGACCGCATCAGAGTAATAACACGCGAATCTTTGCCGTTCGATCGCTGATGGAAGAACCAAAAGCTCGTGAAATATTATCTTCCCTTTTGGAAGTTCATCCTCAGGTGGAACAGAAATTTACAGTGTTCTTTTGGGATCTGTTGCAAAGACGGGACGAGATGCCCAGCGCTGACGCGAGAATATGCGCGGAGCTGAGAGAAGCTTTGAACATATGGGACTTGGCGAAAGGCATAGAACAAAGTAGCCCAGGAATGTGGAACGAGGAATTGGCGCTGCTGAGACGCGAACTGATGAGGGACCGTGACATATGGATCGATAATAATCTTCCAGCTATCCAAAGAATCGGTAACAGGTTCGATGTGCTCGCTAAACAACTAACAGAGAGTGCGATGACCATAACGCGAACCGTGGTAGAAGAACAGAATCAAGAACGGAAAGTATTAATGGAAAGACTGAAACACTCGAGGGCAATGGAAGCTCAGGCTGTTGCCAAATGGAGAGACTTGACCAAACGTTTGACGCACGAAAGAGCTCCCTGGCATTTTCCAAAAAGTTATCCAAGAAGCTGGGAATTGGATCCAACGGAAGGTCCTGCCAGAGTCAGAATACGTCTCCAACGGTGTCACCTGAACATCGACAAGAGATTCTTCATGGCAGACTGTCAAAATAAATTAGAAGCAACGGAAATCGAAGCGCCATTGTCTTACTTATTCATGACGGATCGCCAAGACGCGAATGCCACGGCGTTAATCGAACGACTACATACCAGCGAAAGAATACGTAAAATGTCCCAGGCGCAAGTAGTTACGCCTAGAGCGGAATTAGCCGGAGAAGTTCTTATCGGCGAGACTTGTCTTTACTTTGTACCTGATAAACCCGATGTACCGTTGCACACGGACATAGCTCTAGGTGGATTGGACTTGGCTATGGCGGGTGGAACAGCTTGGCGTCTCGAAGACATTCGAGAATTGCACAGGCGTAGGTATCAACTAGAAGAGAGGGCCATTGAAATATTTTTAATCACCGGAAGAACTTATTTATTAGCGTTCAACTCGTCCAAAGAAAGGGACGAATTCGTGACAGAATTGTCCGCTTGCAATTTACCGAGGCGAGTGCCTGGAGACGATTTAAACGAGGCTATTACGCTGTGGCGAAGTGGAACTTTAACTAATTGGGAATACATAACTTGTCTGAACAAATTGGCTGGTCGTTCCTATAACGATTTGATGCAGTATCCCGTGTTCCCATTTGTATTAGCCGATTACACCAGTGAGAAAATCGATTTAAATAATCCTAAGATATACCGAAACTTCAAACGACCTATGGCTGTGCAGGATAAGAAGAACGAGCAACATTATATAAATAATTATAACTATCTTAAACAAGCGCAATTAATCACATTACATCAAGAACCGTATCATTATGGATCGCATTATAGTAATTCCGGGACGGTATTGCATTTTTTGGTACGATTACCACCGTTCACTAGCATGTTCCTATGTTATCAAGATAATAACTTTGATATTCCGGATCGGACATTTCACGCACTGGCAACAACATGGAGATTAACTAGCTGCGACTCTACGACCGACGTGAAGGAATTAATTCCGGAATTTTTTTATTTGCCTGAATTTTTATTAAACTCCGAAGGATTTAATTTTGGTGTGCGGCAAAATGGCAACAGGGTGGGAGACGTTGAATTACCGAAATGGTGCGGAGGTGATGCAAGACTTTTCATTCTTGCTCACAGAGCAGCATTAGAAGCAGATGTCGTTAGAGAAGTTTTACCCTACTGGATCGATCTAGTTTTTGGATTTAGGCAGACAGGAAGACCAGCAGTGGAAGCAATTAATGTTTTTCATCCTGCAGTAAGTTAAAGTGATTGTTTTTTAAATTCAAAATTCGACATAAAATTCATTCAACTGATGTTTTTAGACCTATTACGGATTTAACGTGGAACAGATAGCGGATACTGTAGTACGTGAAGCTTGGGAAACTATGGTTCGAACTTATGGCCAGACACCAGCGCAACTGTTTACAGTTGCTCACCCACTACCACTACAGAACCTTGGAAATAATGTTTTGCATACGTCACTACCACAAGTAATCGAAGGTGTAGATGGTACGCTTCAATTTTGAAACGTGTTCTTTATTTTTATATGTTCCGATACTGAAACTCAAATTTTCTTATTACGTTATTACAGGTATAAAATGGGGAAATTACGTAGGTGCACCCAGAAATGAACCAGTTTTATGTTGGAAGCATAAAAATAGGGCAACATTAGCGAGTTTGGTTCCCTTAATGACGGGGGATGTTTTCGGATTACCTAGTTATACTACTCTTTTACTTGGTTACACGAAAGAAAAAAGTGCGTCTGATCTTTAATCTGATCATTTTTACATCATTAAGTATTTTATAGTTCGTTATTAATTCCACGATTCGTAATGTTTTCAGGCGCGAGTATGTTAAGTGGAACGTCTGTATTGGGAGCTGCCCTGGTGTCATGGAGCAGTACAGATGGAATTGCAAGACTGAAATGTAAAAAAGAACAACCGCCAAAGCCATTAATTAAGTCGTTAGGTCTCGATCCAGTACGTAATACAATTTTCGTTTCAAAATGATCTATTCCATTGAAAATTTGGTAACATAAAATCATATATCCCTTGTTTTAGATTACTATTTTAGGATCTGCTCCAGATTGTGGGCAACTATGGGCAGGTCACTTATCTGGTAGAATCACAGTGCATACGTATACCGTGGTAACAAGCAAAATTGATTTCAGTTCGGCACCAGCGTGTGTGCTTTTGGCTCACAGGAGTAGAGTAATAACGATATCTCTTTCACGGGCATTTAGTATAGCTGTTACCGGTGATGCAAGTGGAGTTATTATTATCTGGGACTTGAACAGGTACATATTTGTTAATATATAAATGCGAACCTGCATAAAACTCTACGTTAAAATAATATATTATTTCGTTGCAGTTTAACATACGTAAGATCGATATCTTCCGAAGAGAATTATCCTATTCAGTTACTAGCGATTAGCGAAACTCTTGGAGATATTGCAGTTACGTACGAAACATCTAAGACAGTGGAGAACGCATCTTCCAGTCAGTCAGAACTGAAAGTATTTACAATAAATGCGAGAGCTGTTGGTTCTGTTTTATCTAGGAGAAAGATTACAGCTCTTTGTTACAGCAATGCGCCCGAGGGAGTTTCCGTGAACGTTATTGCGACAGGGTTAGATAACGGAGTGATACGATTATGGAGTAGCTGGGATTTAAGATTAGTTAGAGAAATTAAAAATGGCATCAAAGGATGTGGAGCGGTAATCGCGATCGCGTGGTCATTAGATCAGCATCATTTGTACGCAGTTACGGAAGATTCGACTGTTCTCATATGGGAAGGATCGAAACGTTTGAGCAACGGTACATCCAAATTCGTTAACTTAACATCCCTCTAATGTAAATAAATGAAACCAAGAAACACTCGTTTTTACCTTATAGATATCGTATTGAACGGAGAAACGCGTTTTATGCAATCAATACGGCATCAATGTCGCATTTGCACTTTTATGAAAATAAAATCGCTCGAACTTATGTCCATTCGCTAGAGAAATAGTTTCGTATCGCGTTTGCATCTGTTGAAGAAAAAGCAACATGTTGAAGTATTATTTTATTGAAGCTTTCACTACAATCATTTATCATTTTTGTTATGTTTCTAGTAATATATCTGCATCTATATTTTTATACTCTGTTGTATTAAAGCATATAATGCACTTATACAGGAAGTACACGTTTTGTTATTAATATATTTATGAATAGAACAATAGTATATTGAAGATACGCTTATATCAAACTATTTCTTTCATAAACTTTTTATCTTCATAACATTGTAATGTATGTATATAAGGATATTAAATAAATTCATGACACGTAATCAGTATAATGCATTTTAACTTACCTCAGATTACATTTAAGCAGTCTTCAATAATCTCAAACATTGGATAATACTTTCCTGATCTTTTAGCAATTTGTTCCGCTGTGTCACCACTTGAATTTACTAAACGAGGATTTGTGTCTGAATGTAGGAGAAGGAGTTGCAAGGAACGAGAATTGTGCGAACTCGCACATGCTAAATGCAAAGGTGTTTGATCCCCTTTGCTCTTAGCATTGATATCTGCTCCATATGCAATTAAGACTGCAGCACATTCCACATTATTCCAGCAACAAGCTGAGTGCAGTGGCTGCCAACCATCCATAGTTTTAGCATCTATCTGTGCACCGGCATGAAGTAAATACTACAAATAAAACAAATACGAGCTAACAGTGATCTTATCAAGAAAAATTGCTGGTTAAGAAATTAGAATCAGAAAATAACAAAACTGTACCTCTACAACTTCCACATGATTTCCATAACATGCTCTATGTAGCGGAGTGTAACCATCCTTATCAGTGCATTCTAACAATCGCGGATTTCTTTGTACTAACTTTTTCACTTCTTCCAAATTACCTTTTTCAGCTGCATGGAGAATTTCTTGTGCATCAGGCTCTATGAAAAGAAATATGTAATTAATTGAATTGTTATTACGATCATTGGAAACACAATTTGAAGTTCTCTATTTCTAACCTTTCGCATCACGGTCAGCTTCTACTCCATCATCATCGTCTTCCCAAGCACTGACTTGCATACGCTCACTCCGCGGTTCACTTAAAATTTTATCACGAATCGCTTCTAAATCCGTCAACTTGTCACTTCCCTCGTCAGACGATGACATCTTTCTCTTACAAACAATTACAGAAATAATCTATTCTACGAACCTCAAATTATCGTCCTATCTTCTGTCAGTTGAATCTGTCAACTAAAAGCGGAGCCACTTTCCCTTGCAGCATAGATCATATATTTAAATAGTTTTGTTAAAGCGTGAGAGATATTCTTCTTTTTGTTTGTTTTCAGAATGTTTTAAAACTCTTTGGCAGTTTGTTTTAACAATTCATTGGTATTTCATCATCGCGACAAAATATACGGTCAGAAAATGGAATGCCTGAAACTGCTGGAAAGTGTAGATGTTCTAGGTTATGCGGGTAATTGCGTGGGAACCGAACATTCTCAGTTATTGCAAAATTCTCTTATAATACTGCAACACGAAAATCATTTTCAAAAATGCTATTACTGGGGCAAAATCTACGGAATACGAAATGATTATCATATTGCTTATGGCTTTGAAAAACACTGTATGGATGGACAGGTTTATTATTATAGGTAAACAAATTTTATATTACCAGTTTTCAATATAAAATAAACTGACATGAGTATTGTATGATTAGTACCGATGCTTTAAATTGGCTGTTATTACCAAAGGCAAACAAATGTGCACGATTTTTGACGCCTCTTGCAATTAATAAATTTGAAGGTGATCCATCCATTATTACGAACGTTTACAACGTAAATCCTCCATTTCCTCCGAACGATGATCCTAAAAAGTATTATGATGTAAGATGAAGACGATTCTGTGAATGTATTTTTAAATTTAGGAAAGGAAGAATATTAATAGTGAATCAATTAAATTTAATGCATACTAGGGTCCTATACCGAAAGAACTGAAAGAGGAAGATAGACTCGCGGTTACCGTAGATTTAATCAGAGAAAACGCTGCTGTAATTCCACGTGGTGCATGGTTTAAATGTCCGAATGGCGACATCACAGAAAACTTAAGCTTCGAAGGACTTAATTCTGCAGATGCAACTTATTTAAAATCGTATTTACACGCACGTCCTCCCATACAGAAATGGAATACTAATTTATTGACCAGGCCTGATTATAATTACGCATTGGATTTTTTAGATACGATTGATCTGGACGTTCCGCAAGGTATTAGCCATATGTATATATAAAGTAATTAATTTAATGTAGTTTTCCTCTATTATATCTTTGTTTAGGGTGTTGGAGCCTGCAGTTATTACAAGGAAAGAGACTAGCAATTTTGCATAGCTTGTATTGGCCTGGTATGACTTTCTTTCATAAATTAAATACACCACATTACGGGTTTCTTTATTTTGGACATGGAAAAAAGAATATGGACGTGGTCTTTATGGTTTGACAATAAACAGTATAATACAAAATTAAAGAGTCTATATGTGTCTCTGTTTATCTTTATAAAATATATCGTTTTTTTTAGTCCACTCCAGTCTTCCGAGTAATTATATTGACGAACATCAGATTCGTTTTTGTTTTCTATGACAACCAAACATTCGCTTCAACATAACGTTCCTTTTTTTTGACGTATGTTAAAATCCGTCACCTTGTTAATTTTACAAGTAACAACAGTTCCAATCATGACTTGAGTTCAGAAGAAAATTGTCATTAAAAATTTCAAGCATTTTGAGTAGTGACGCTGTAAGTCATTAACCTAAAATTATCTCTAGATCTGATGATATTAATGGTACCCCTTGCGTATCGTTTTATTTTTAAAGTAATTGTTCAAACATACGAGTTGAGTTTCTATTAATGAGTATTTAATTTTCATAAATTTCATACGTGTCTGAATTAAAACGGAGAATTGTTCGCGGGCTTTGTGGGTAAATTAGTTGCCATTGAATCGCGTCAGATGGCGGCAGTGTTTCCCTGGAGGACGATGAATTTGAACGCACAAGCGCAGTGACCGGCGTACTCGAGTGAAGTGTTGTTGCAAGTGCCTGGGATCCGTATTCCGACGCATTTCCACAGGATATATTGCCGTTAACGGTGAGTAAAACATTCATCATATTCCCGAACGTTCTTCTCATATCGGTGAACCAATTTTGAACGGTTAAATCGCTTTACTTCGACCGTTAAAACACAAGTTTGGTAACGGCGTATCGCCGGGTGACGCCGGTTCTGCGGAAACGTATTTCCTAGCACGTGGATCCTAGCGGGCTCTGGGCGAACGTTTAGGATACCTGCTGTTACCGGTTCTTTAAAATCCAGTAATTTTTCGAGAGCTTCTAGAAAATATAACGACATCGCTTATCGATGACGCAACACGTCGTCGTGTGCAATTTTTTTTTCGTTGACAGACAAGCGGCGTCAAGATTCTGCCTGCTTCCGCACGAATTGCGCGTCACCTGACGTTGTCGAAATTTCCGGCTCGTATTGTATCATTGGAGAGCCATAAGATCGATACGCAACGATACCGTATCGATACAAATAACATTCCAAGATGGATGTAAACCAAAACACCGATTTATACACGACAATTCTGCATCGATCGACTTTCATTGCGTATCGTTTTTATTCTACCTACGGCGACGTCGCAGAATCGTTCAAATTCCTCTCACTGAATCCGACGAAACGGTCGCATCCATCGCGGAAAATATTTAAAGATAAACCACGATCGAAATCGCGTGGTATGCTTTCGTCGATATAAGTTTATATTTTTATTCGTAATAAGAACTTTTATACGATGCGATTGAAGGTTAGCTGGGTCAGAGGGAGGAGTTAACAAGTCCGCCGTTATTGGACAATACTCTTCACCAGACAGTTCATAAAAACACTGACAGTTTTTATCAATTAAACAAGTCTTTTGGGAAGTTAATATGCTACCTACCATAGTTAACGAATAATCTGTAGATTTTATGCAGTTTGGACGCACCTGTGAACGTGTAAAAGACGATAAATTAGATACTCATACAATTTTACAATCGAAAAATAACCCGTACGAGGCTGCTCACCTCGCCTTCTTTGGTCGTATCATTGTCGGGGTGTTGTTCCTCAACTTCCGGTGGTCTGTCGAATTAATCGAAGGCTATGGACTCGTTACAAATACCGGAGCATCGAATTTAGAAGCTAGCGGATAGCATTCACGCGGACTCTAGTAGACCATACCAGTTGCAGGTGCAACGCAGCGTTTAAAATCTCTGTTATTAATCCTTTCGTTTCAACAATCACGCATCTCGTGTTGCTTGATAGTAGGGACCGCGGAGTGGGGCAGGGGATATTCTTGTTGTACCATTTTCGAGGCGTCCCTGCGGTTTCGAAAGCGTCCACCTCTACTCGGCGTGTTCGTATACTGGCCTCCATCGTTCCTTTCCTTTCCTCCTCGATACTGAGATTTATTTTCGCGCGACGAAGAAATCAATGACGGAGCCGATAACCTCTCCCTGTCTCTCTCTTTCTTTCTCCACGCGGGGCACGGATAGGAAACCCTGCGGCTCTCTTTTATCTGATTCATATGCACAGCCGTACATGTGCAATCGTGTAGTCAATTCCGAGCACGGACTTGCGAGTTCCGGTTCCTATTCAAGTGGTATCCTCTCTGTATCCCGACGTACCTTCTTTTTCTTCGTCTTCCTCGTCGATAACTCCAAGCATCGTCCAGTCAGTGGATATATGCTTACGGTTTCGTGCCTATGCTTCCTAGGAAATCATTCGACCACTCGATTCCTCGAAAGGACCACTATGATCGAAATAGAACATTCTGTAGTTCTCGGTCCTCGGTTCATTCTCCTCCGCCACAGATTACTCCGTAATAAAGAATGCATCGATCGAAGGACGACAGAGAATTTTACGTTGAATATAGATATACATAGAAAATATCATATGCATACGTGGGTATAAAAACCATTTATGCGATATGTAAATATTTGTACGATTTCAACAAGGTCGAAATTGGCCATTTGCTGCCATTGTCGTTTCCTGCGCAACTCGACGGTCGACCGACTGTCATTTTTCATTGTTTCTTTATAGTCGACCATAATTCGTCTCGAAATTACCTTTTCACGCGGAAAGAAACGTTCCTTCGTATCGTATCGCAACGATTCCTGCCCGAAGCACTCTCGGGTTCTAGTATTCGAGGCATCGAACGCCGGTTATCGACCCCTCCCGATACGGTTTGTCGCTTTTTTTTAATACTCCACGACGATCGCGGCGAAATCTCTGGTAACGGGACTTAGAGTAAACCGTAAAAACCTCGTGGAAACGTCACGGCATTGACTTTCTTTGTTCCGCTAGCGTAATCTCCCGTTCCGTAGCCTCCAACTGGCGAGAGAAGAGGCGAGAGGCGAGGTGGTCCCAAGTACCTACCTACCCGAGCCTCCGTGCGCTTGTAATTTGTTGCACATGTTTCGTGAATTTGTTCTAAACTCAACTTGTTCGTCGACCGCGAGTCGTGCAATTAGGAACCAGATACGTGTCAAAACACCGACTGCTGAATGACTCATTAACGTTTGGAAGCTAGTAAGAGAGCATGGCCGCCTTCTCTTATACCGACCGTTACGATCGTATTATTGATCACGATAGGATCGTATCGCGTACACAGTAATTCTCAACCCGGGTTACGCGACGAGTGGCGTTCAATTCCGATTTCTTTTGTCCCGTGTTATCGCAATTGTTCGTTCTACCATTTATTCGATGGCGGTCGTCTTATTCCTCGTCGCGTAATCGACGTTTCTCCGAAGGCGTTTAATTGAAAACCAAAAAAAAAAAAAAAAAAAAAAGAATACGACTACGTGTTAATAATTTATCGTCGTGATTCGTGACCAGTCTTCATTACAATATAGTTGCGACGCACCGAGCTGCAAAGATTCAAATTTGCGAAAAACTGGATTATCCGCGGAGATATTCCAGCGTTCCGCAAACGGTATACGAGAGACACACAGTGGTTCTCACGGGCCACGATCTTGGGCAATTAGGTCGAATGGAAAGCGTGATGAAGGGCTATAATGCGTGAGAACCGCCCGTTTAAGGCGCGAGAACTGGTTCTGGGTTGATCGCGGGCATCTTCTTCCCAAGGCCCTCTTCTCGATGTTAAACACGGCAGAGATGTTACGAGCTCCTTGGACTGCCTGAAATTAAACGTCGGGGACAAGGAGCCTCGGAAACCGCCTTTTCTCGAACCTCCCTCCGCCCATTCGAAACGTGTGTGCCCTTCCTCCGCGTCCTCCTCTTGCCCCTCATCTTCGCCACCTTCGCTTCTTTTACTCCATTTGCTTTGTTTCTTCTCCGTCTTCTTCCTCTTCTCCTTCTACGGCTGTTGCCTACCTGGCCGACGTTACGAAACGTTCCCGATCGTTTTAGATTCGAGTTGGAATTTCATCGACGAAACAACAACAAAAAAAAAGATACGAGAACCGGCCAATGTATGCAATGTTGCTTGCTTATCTACGAGCGACTGCGTTCTTTTTTTCCCCTGTTCGTTCGTGTGTTCGTGGTCGTTACTTTGTAAGAATTTTTATACACACATTGTATTCGTATAGTTTCATTCTTGCGTGATAAAATGGCGCGGTGTAATTCGTTAAAGGCTCCCGGGCATTTACCATTTTCTAAAGGCTCGACGAAAAGGCTGCCTGAGGCCGAGTATCGGTCGGGGCCGGGCATCACGTGTACTCGGAGTGATTCTCTTCCATGCCGTGGCTCCGTTGTCAAGTGGACAATATCTTCTCGTGTTACAACAATGTTACCGTTGCCGAACAAAACGACCCGCTCCGATGTTTCCTTCTTGCGTGTCTCTCCATCGTGTTCGCCGAACAGCGTTCTTGCTCGGTTTTGCGCCCCGTGATATCGCGTTATAATTTATTACGTTTCTTCGATCGATGAAAAATCTCTTCATCGCATCGTTGTTTTTCGTCGTTTTGTACGCGCAAACATAGAAAGTAGCCGATTAGGTAAACATTACGTTAAGAGAAATTTACGGTCGCCTTTGATGTAGCAATTCTTGTTTGTTCGCTTTCTTTCCCCGTCGTTGGAACTTCGTACCAATTGTTTCCGCGGGATTGATCGATCGACTCTTCGAAACATGTTACATTTAATTTGGTCTTGGTCGCGACGAACGCTCGTTTGCGAATCCTATCATCGACCGGTCACGTTCAGCAGTAGATCTGTTCGTGGCGTAGCCTTAATGGAAAAGAGGGTTGAAGAGGAGCGCATTGATTTACCGTTACGGAGAGCCGGTGTCTCGGTGTCTATGTGTAACCCGCACCATACCTGCCACCTCCGCCTATTGGCCACTTGGTATTTCGATTGAGACACATAAGACCGGATCGCGTCGAATAATCGAGACAAGATTGCTTTTTCATAGATCCATCGAGCACATCGGGGAGATACGTTGGTAACGAATCATCGACG